TTAAAGTAGGTCGTATCCAGTATCAACAGTCACCCACACACGCCAAAGTATTCAGTAGTCCTCTCTACCCCGTGGGCTGCAAGGGTCTGGTGGTGTTACTATAGTGTATCCCCAACCAAAGCCTGGTGGACCTAGGACAAACTGATCTAAACGGTCTTATGGTTTTGTATTTTCGTGTTTTCGAGTATGAACACAGTCATATATTTAACGAAGAAAGCATTTATTTTGTTTCCCATGGCCTCCCTTTGGTTTCCCATGGCCCCCCTTTGGGTTTAATACCATGCCCCCCCCTTTGGGTTTAATACCATGCCTCCCTTTGGTTTTAACATCATGCCCCCCGTTGACCCACATAATCAGGATATCTTCTCCTCAGCTAATCTTAACCTATCCTGCCCCCTTTATGTTGAGAAGCATCCCCTTAACTTCCGTGTCTCCTACAGGTCCAGAAGAAGAGACGTGTGGTGGCGAGAGTACGCTGCCGGAACGTCAAGACGGAATGCCCCAAGGTCACCTGTCGGGACCCGGTCATTCTACCCGGTCAATGCTGCAAGACCTGCGCCAGTGAAGAGCTGAGGCTACCGGGTAAGTTCATACTACTGTTGTTATATGACCTGTATTAGTGGTGAGCTGAGACTACCAGGTGATCTCACGCCAGGTAACTGTACTCACCTCAAGAGGTGACGCAGCATCAGTAACGTCACCACAGCCTCTGGATATATTATATGAATCCTCAAAGTGATTCATTACATCTTAACATTTCTATTAATCAATCAGAGATAATTAAAAAAAACCACTTCGATGTTTAGTTATACGAAATTTACTTAGGTACCGGACAAACAGTATATATTGCAGTTTCTTTAATATGTGTGTATTTTTTTTTAATTTCGAGGCTATATTCTGGACACCAACACAATCAAAAAAAGTTAGTTGCTGAAAACTGACGAATTATTACCGGAAGAGGAAGACGTTTGTAGGATTATTTTCACTCAGGGTTACTTATGGTTACTAGAGCCCGTGTACTCTTAGGTGTGGGGTGGTGAAGAACTGCTCGATAGCATAACAAACCTAATTGTTAAGATTCACCGACAACGTTTCCTAACCTAACCTAACTCTCCCTAGATACAGGTAACGAGGACCGTGTGTGTGTGTGGTGATGATAACAACAGTAGGGAGGTTCAAGTGCCCAGTAGTCGACCTCTAGCGCTCATTAGTCGACCTTTAGCTTCTCATTATCCTTGGAGGTGACTTATAGGACGATTTCTTACAGGATATTGACAAGTTATTGAAAGTTATTTACGATTTTTTTAGGACAATAACAGATTCAAGGATTCATATATGTCCTGAAGAAAATACGAAGTTTTACGACTACGTACGAATATTTCAGGACATTTACGAATCTTTGGATGAGTTTTACGAATTTTAAAGACATTTACGATTTCTTCATTGCTTGTTTTGATAATACTAACGAATCTACATCCAATTCTAGAGAGTCACTTGTTCTAGCTTTACACCCCCCCCCCCTTCAATAGCCCACCCAGCTGTGAATGGGTACCTTACTTAACAGTTTGGGGGGAGTGAACGATGTCGAGTGCAGTGCCGCCTACCTTGCCTGCCTGTCTGAGGTGTTAGCAGTCACCTGTATTGAATAACCAGGACATAAATATCACACACACCTGTCCGTTATCTATCATATAATAGGCATTGATAATTAACCTGTATCCACGATGTTTGTCTCTCCTTCCCTTCTCCCCTCCCACTCTCCCCACCCCTCCCTTCTCCCCTCCCACTCTTTCCTCTCCTCCCCGCCCACTCTCCCCTCCCACTCTCCCTCCCTCCTCCTCCCCTTCTCCTCCTCCCTCCTCCCTCCCTCCTCCCCTCCTTCCATCCATCCTACCCTCCCGGTTGGCCACGTTTGGGGAGGCGATGGTATCTATTTCACCTGGCCCTGGCTGCGTCCGCCTGCCCGCCCGCCCGGAGCATATTCTCCTGGTATGTAGAGATCTAGGTGTCATGGCAGACAATGTCAAGAAAGTGATGGGGAGAGATATACTCATACAGTCCTTCCTTCCTCTTCTTCCTCTTCTCCCACCACAACAACACAACAATAACAACAACACTCCCACCACAACAACACAACAATAACAACACAACACAACAACACTCCCACCACAACAACACAACAATAACAACAACACTCCCACCACAACAACACAACAATAACAACAACACTCCCCACAACAACACAACAATAACAACAACACTCCCACCACAACAACACAACAATAACAACAACACTCCCACCACAACAACACAACAATAACAACAACACTCCCACCACAACAACACAACAATAACAACAACACTCCCACCACAACAACACAACAATAACAACAACACTCCCACCACAACAACACAACAATAACAACAACACTCCCACCACAAAACAGTAAATTAATCCCACAGACAATATCCCCGTCAAAGGTAATTTAGGTAATGACTTTGACCTGGTTAATTGGTTATTGGTTAATGTTCTCTGGTATTCCAACGTGACATTAACCATTCAAACTTTTAAAATAGTTTATCTGAATATTCAACCATAATTGTTTTTTTTTGTCAGTCAATGTAAATGGAACTGTTAATTAATAGGTCAGAATTACCTGTTATTTGTATAGTTGCAGGTAAGCGGTGTAATCTAGGTTGATCAAAAAGTCACTGTGCACCTAAATTAATGAACACTATAGTTATAACATGGAACAGCTGTATCATCTTTTATCACAAGGTGCACAGGGACTTTTCGATCATCATGTATAAGGCTGGGTGCACCCTATAATGTGTTGTTATTCTCGTGTATGTAAACAACTTTTATGGCTTTCATTACCCATTAACCCTCACCACAGCAGCTGATGTCTGGTAAACACCGCCGTTAGTATCACTGTTTATTTTTTCTTCATTAATAACAAATCTAGTCTGCATTAATATCAAACAGTCGATAATATTTTTGTTTGTTTTTCAAGTGTTGGGGAAGACTTTTACCCTGATGATAAAAGTTTAAATTTAGCTGGATGATAATGGTAGTCTTAACGTATTTATTTATCCTGATCGTTATATCGTATACATATTCTGTGTTAAAACGTACACATGTTTTTTTTTAGTGTACATAGTGTAAGTCTTGTTAAAGTTTACAAAAGATAACTAGAAACAATCACTAAGGGATTTAATAACCACGACAGCGTAATGAAATATAACTATGTCAGTCTCCCCCTCAAATAAACGATATCGATCCGTTTTCTTTCTTTACAATTTCAACACTGGACGAAATGCTCGGTATAAATTCTCCAGTGCACCGTCATCCGTTGGTACGTGTGGTCGCATGCTCCTCGTACTTAAATATACGCAGTTTATGTATTTATTAAGTACTTGTAGGAATAAAACTTAAATTATTGTCCATTTTGAAATTCTGGTGGTGGACTAATACCGCTCACAGCACCATGAATCTCGTTGACCCTAATGAGTAACGATAATTTTCATATATAACCTAATATAACCTAACCTAACCTAACCTAACCTAACCTAACCTAACCTAACCTAATTTGTAATATATGGATACCCTTGGTGTTTATTGTTACAGTTTAATGGGAATTAGTTCATTTTTTATATAATTGACAATTTCCATTCAAGTCATTCTTCACTGCCCCAAACTAGTCAAGGGTTAGGATAGGTTAGGTTAGGTTAGGTTAGGTTTTTCTGCTTGATCGTTCCTATATACAAATCAGTTCAAATTTTCGAAAACAGAGAAAGTTTAAATTTATCACTAGGTAGCAATCATCCCTAAAACACACACACACACACACACCTCTCAGTGACCTTGCCTACATTGTGATTTATCGTAGCCAGAGTGTAAACAGATTCGCTATTCCCGACCCGTAAACAAGGAGAGAGAGAGAGAGAGAGAGAGAGAGAGAGAGAGAGAGAGAGAGAGAGAGAGAGAGAGAGAGCACTCAATGACCTTGTAAAGTATTCTCAGGAAACGCGTAACTTATAGTGGACTAAAATGGCAACGAAGAGGATCCCGCTTTCTATGACACTCACTTAACCCCCAACTATAGTGTTCCTGCACCAACTCACCACTAGACGGTCACTGACGTATTTGTGGCGTAAACTGATGAGGGTTAAAATTTACTAAAGGGTGAAGGACGCTGTTGATATGTGGGTCTTGAGGGCCATACGCATCGCCCTACGCCAGAAACAACCAACGACAGGTTAACGAACATCGAGGTGACGGCGATGGTGGCGATCGTTCGTCAGTGTTGGCGCCAGACGGGTTTTTTTTGGGGGTTTATTTCGTCGTTACGCTTTCCAGTGAGTGGCGCCACACCTTATATGTCGCTCTTACACAACGTTAAAATATGTGCGGATTCATTGTAGAGGGTACAGTAGCTAACCTAACCTAGACCTAACCTAGACCTAACCTAGAACCTAACCTAGACCTAATCTAGACCTAACCTAGACCTAACCTAACCTAGACCTAACCTAGAACCTAACCTAGACCTAACTTAAACCTAGACCCTAACCTAGACCTAGACCTAACCTAGACCTAACCTAGACCTAACCTAGACCTAACCTAGACCTAACCTAGAACCTAACCTAGACCTAACCTAACCTAACCTAACCTAACCTAGACCTAACCTAACCTAGACCTAACCTAACCTAACCTAGACCTAACCTAACCTAGACCTAACCTAACCTAGACCTAACCTAACCTAGACCTAACCTAACTTAGCGATACTACAGCTACGGGTCTCTCAATTCCATCTATGGGAAATAATTATACAGGCATAAACCTTTCAGAATCCTTGGACAAGTTGTTGACGCCTTGTGTATGTGGGGGGGGTGGATGGTGCCGTGTATGTATGTATGTATGTATGTGTGTGTGTATACTGGTACCCCATGTATGTGTATGTGTGTGTGTGTGTGTGCTTATAGACTGGCGCCATCTGTTTGTGTGTTCATAAATGTGAATGCTTATACGTGTTTGTGAGTTCGTATGTGTGTATATATGTACTGTATATGTTCTTTTCCCTGTGTGTATGTGTAAATTTGTGTCTGTTTTTTGTATGTGTGTGTGTTCGTCTGTGTGTGAGTGTACATACTTAATCATATGTACGTGCATGTGTTCTGGCATCTGTGTACGTGTGTGCAAGACGTGTTTGTTATTGTGTGTACCTATGTGCGTTTATCTCTTAATATGTATGTATGTATGTATGTATGTATGTATGTATGTATTTATTTATTATTATGACGGAGGATAAGTGAGAGAAGGATTGAGTGGACATGAGGGAGTGAGAGGGGATGAGGGAGTGAGAGGGCATGAGGGAGTGAGAGGGCATGAGGGAGTGAGAGGGCATGAGGGAGTGAGAGGGCATGAGGGAGTGAGAGGGCATGAGGTGAGAGAGGAGAGAGAGTGAGAGGGCATGAGAGAGTGAGAGGGGCATGAGGGGTGAGTGAGGGAGGAGGGATGAGGGAGGGGTATGAGGGGAGGGCATGAGGGGTGAGAGGGCATGAGGGGTGAGGAGGGGTGAGAGGGCATGAGGGAGTGGGGGGCATGGGGAGGTGAGAGGGCATGGGGGGAGAGGGCATGAGGGATGATGGGTGGGGGAGAGGGATGAGTGGTGGGGAGAGGATGGAGGGCATGAGGATGAGGGGAGTGAGAGGGCATGGGGTGAGAGGGCATGAGGGGGTGAGAGGAGAGGCAGGGATGAGAGGGTGAACTACTGCCCGTCGCCATGAATGTGTGACCTAGTTTTGCCTACGACTGGCGCCACTTACCCCTCCTTCTCCTGACCCTTCCCCTCCTCCTCGCCCTTCCCTTTCCCCCAACTCCCCTTCCCTACTCCCCTCCCCCTACTCCCCTACTCTCCCACCCTACTCCCTCTCCACCCTCCCCTCCCCTTCTCCCCTACTCCCCTTCTCCTCACCCTTCACTCCCCTTTCTCATACTTCCTGGCGCCTAGACACATCACACCCAAGTGTCAGGTTATGTGTCCTTCAGTAGATGTTTTTTGTTTGATACATATACTGGATATGTATATATTATAGTACACACACACACACACACACACACACACATACACATATATATATTTCCCATCAGCGGCGCCAGCACGAGCAATCAAGAGTGCCTGGCGTTACATACCATACAGGGAAGTGACTCGTTTAAGCTGCGCCTGACGTATGTTTTCCCCCCCACCCTCCAATGGCACACTTTTGGATGCTACGCCAGACGAACCTTTACCTGTATTTCTTTCACCCGTCATTGGTAGATTTTTTTTGGGGGGGACGCTTCGCCAGACGAACTTTTCCTCGCCATCTGCCTACAGTGGCGGTGGAGGTGAGAGCTGTTCCTAGTACCGGTTTGTTTACTTGTTGACGTCTTTATGGTCCACCCTCGCCCTCCTGCCTAGTGTAGTGGCCAGGTCTGTGTGTGTGGGGGGTTGGGACTGGCACCTCGTAGACTACATAGCACAGTGGCGGCGGCGGGCGACGTGCTACAAATGGTGAAGGTGAGACAGATTTAATGGGTGGTAGAGTCGCACCTCACACCTCCTATATTACCTCCCTACCCCATCACCACCACACCCCTCCCCCATCACCACCACTCACCCCTCCCCCATCACCACCACTCACCCCTCCCCATCACCACCACTCCCCTCCCCCACCCTCACCCCTCCCCCCCACCACTCCACCTCCCCACCACTCACCCCTCCCCCCACCACTCACCCCTCCCCCACCACTCACCCCTCCCCACCCTCCACCCTCCCCCACCACCCCTCCCCACCCCTCCCCCTCACCACTCCACCCCTCCCCACCACCTCCCCACCCTCCCCTCCCCCACCCCTCCCACCCCTCCCCCCACCACCCCTCCCCCACCACCACCCTCCCCACCCCTCCCCCCCCACCACCCTCCCCCCACCCTCCACCCCTCCCCCACCTCACCCTCACCACTCCCACCACTCACCCCTCCCCACCTCCCACCACCCTCCCCCCCACCACCTCCCCCACCACTCACCCCTCCCCACTCACCCCTCCCCCACAACTCACCCCTCCCCCACACCCCTCCCCACCCCACCCCTCCCCCACCCTCACCCCTCCCCCACCACCCACCCTCCCCTCCCCACCACCCCCCCCACCCCTCACCCCTCCCCCACCCTCCACCCCTCCCCACCCACTCACCCCATCCCCCCCACCTTTCCCCCTATTTCCTCCTCTTCATCGTGTATCGTTTCTAATTAAGGTACAGTCGCAGTGTAACTTCTGACGCCATATGTGTGTGTGTGTGTGTGTGTGTGTGAAGGTCGTTTATTTTGTACACAGGCTGTGACGTACACGGCTCTCTAACGTAAACAAACTGACAGCCGACAGCCACGTACTGTACCTGAGAATTTCAAGAGCACTGTTGTCTTAAGTTACAGCACCTAGATGAGCGGTCAGCTTGGAGTCCATGTTAAAGCTTAGGTTTACGTAGGAACCTTAATTACTTTACAGAAATCGTATGCACTTGATGGCGATTACTTTGATAGTTGTAGTCGATTAATTTACGATTATTATGACCATGGATTACTTTCACAGTGCAGGGGGATTTATTTGGGGATTTCTTTCAGTGTAATCGTTTATTTTATGATTGTTTTCACTGTATAATCGATTAATTTACGATTCTTTTGATGTAAACGAAGTAAATAAAGAATTAAATCCGATTAAGTCAGATATACACCAGGCCTATTAGACCCCAGTCCTGTTAGACCCCAGTCCTGTTAGACCCCAACGCAAATATGTCTTAATTTTTATTGTAGACGAGTAGTGTATGTTATTACCTTGGATACATCTCTCTAAAAAACTCCTCAGTGAACCTTTAGACATACGATACTGAGATAGTACCACGAACAAGGCTGCTAAACGTATTTCCCAGACGGCATAAACCAACCAAACACTAACCCAATACTTCTAGGATACTTTAGGTTAGGTTAGGTTAGATTAGGTTCGTGTTATCGGCTTTAAAATTATAAAAAAAGATAAATGGATTAGCGGTCTTCGTCGTGGTACGTTTCCTACATTGTGCCAGGAAAGCCTTGACTCCTGGCTCGGGCGGGCGGGCGGAAGGGAAGGAAAGGGGAAGATTTGCTCACGTAACAAGGCTTCACGTTGTTATTAGTTAAGTTTAAAGGATTATACGTAAACATTCTGGTTTGTATTATTTTGCCATTCTGCTTGAACGATTTAGAATTTAAATTACGGTTTTCTATCATAAATATTTAAAGTAAAGTTCCCCTCCCCCTCCTCTTTTTTTTTTAGGGCGGGGAAAGTCGTCTCGTTTCACTTTTGTTTTGCCGGAAGATGGATTACGCTTCTCCCTTTAGTGGCGGAAGATTCACGAGCCTTGTGAAAAGTTTACCTGCAGCCTAGTCATCCAAACAGTCTCTTCGAAACTTACTTGTTGCCTAAAATGATTAACGGGGTTCTCACGTCAATAGCGGGAAAGTCCAGATGGCAATAAGGTGATCAAAGTATAGAAAAATGCTGAATAGTGTAAAAAAAAAAAACTCATCTTTATATTAATGAAACGTATAAAATATTGGTCACACACACACACACACACACTCGCCACTGTAAACTTCGCACAAATTGTTGTATCAAAGATTGTATGTGATAATAAGATTACCCAGTACTGTATAACCTTTAAACCATGGACGTCCACACAACCGGTTATGCCTTTAACCATTTATCTTGTTTAACCAAATAAATGGTCGCCGTTGGGGGGTCATTAGTTAAGTCTTTGAGATATTAGGTTAAGGTTTAAGAATGTTCTGAGGTGTGAGGTGGGATAACTTTCACTGAACGCCTTCCATGGTGACGCATATCTTCACTATTTTCTGGTATTTTTTGTTGTGTATATGTGTTATGTTGTGGGTGTTAATTATTTGTATATATCTTATTCTAGTTTGTATGATTTGTATGTTTTATGAAGTGTATGTATTGTAAGAGAAGTTAGATCATATTTCCCATTACCATCCAAGTTGTTACGTCACTGACTGTATCTCTCGCTTAATGTTATGGGTCTTGGGGTATTGTTACACATTTCCTCATATATAGATAAAAAATATATTCCGTGTTTCAGGAAAAAATAGTTATAAGTCCCTTTACATTAAACCATTTTGTATTACTGTTGTGCATCTTTTGGTGTCAGGTGAAGCTGATTTGGATTTTCTTGATATTTACAGGAGATGAGCCCCATGAGCCCCTCGAGGAACTGACAGGTAGAGGTGAGTGTTGTGTTCTAATTTTTGCAGGTGGCTTTAGTCCCTCGTCTTGCTCTTAATTGGTTTTTTTGCTGGAAAGTCGGGTACTCCATAGCCTGTGTACATAATAAAACAACCCCGAACGCTGAAAGCCAATTTGCTCATAGTGTATCATACGCAAAAAAAAACTGCAATGTGTGTCACCGGCTTACTGTAGTTAGATTATTATTATAACTTTTACGCCCAAAGGATAAGAAACTCAGTAGATGAGAAACAGTTACCTATATCTCCAGGGGCCAACGAGATATTTTCATTCGGCATCCACCAGGAGTACAGTGCAAATAAATTGGCTTCAGTGGTCGGCCCTTCAACCGCAAAGATGGAGCCCCTCATTAAAAACACATTTACTTTTTTTTTTTTTTTGCTATGCACGACCACAGTTTTTAACCCAGTGTTAAAATTTGCCATGCTGTCTCCATAATACTATACAATTAGTTTTGCCCAAGGATAGACTTAGGCTACGAGCTGTTCCTCTAAATCTACAGTAGGTGGTGGTTGGCTTCACCCGTTCTGATTAACTTCTCAAAAACAAACCCTGACAACGCTGGGTACTTTAGGTAGTCTCTTATAAATGATTTATTACCGTAGTCTCAGTCGTCATTTGTCACTCGGGCTGCTCGCTGTATAGACACAGATTGACATGTTCAAGTTGGCTCTTATCTAATATCCTCCGTGTGTGTTTTTGTAATAGGAAATAGATCAATAATTCAGTCAAACAAAATGGAAAAGACTAAAAATATCAAAGCCATACGGTGTGGTCTTCGGTGTTACCAGTTGTTAATATATACACAGGCACTAGTACCAGGCCGTCTAAAGTAAATAGTGAAGTAATAGTGAGGGACGCCACCGTAAAACATAACTTAAGAGTACATTAACGTGATCTTCCTTGATACATAGCTTAAAGATATTTATTCATTTTAAAACATAGAACTCAAACCTGGTGACAGAAAGGGAAAAACGTGAGTGGTGTTGACTACAATCAGTTGGAAGATTACGAGAATACTGTACTGTACTGTACACTCTCACTCAAAACTTCTCAATGCTATACGCATTATGCATTCCGAGATGACAAACCCCATTCTGGTCATTCTCACATCCATCGTGCCCAGGTGTTGGAGAAGCTTTTGGTGAGAGTGTACATAGTTCCTGAGGGCAACACTTGAACCAACCAAACCGAACTTTGCTGTCAAAAATAATTTAGTTTTGTGGTCTGTATACCAGATCGCACAATGAAGATATGATGTTTATTGTATAGAGATACAATTTCTATTTTCTTTTTACACTCTCCTTTCCTTCCTGTGATATTAGAAAAAAAAGTTACCTTAGTGACGGTGAGAAGGATGGTACAGTTTTGCCCTCAAAAACAAACTCACTTAATTATTACGTGAATATTATCCCAGCTGGTCATCAGGGTAATCTTCAAACCCTGAATCTATGCAGTACAAGGATTTACTTTTTAGGTTCAATGATTCGATACCCAGGGAATTACAGTCTTTTGTTGTTTAGTCTTGCAAGTGTGATACCAGAAGTTATATATATATATATTGGCAAATCGAAGAGGAACATACGTGTACAACTGCTCTCCAAACCACCCCATTCGGCTCAGGAACCACAGCTATGAGCACCACCACTCCATACTTGGCTTCTCATTCACTCTCCGTGCCAGTTGCCAAGACATTGAGGTGGGTATCATCGACTCCTTCCTCACAAAGACACAACAGCCGACCATCTCCAGAAACAGTCAACTGAGCTCTTGTGCTTCTGAAGTTCTGGAGTGGCAGATCCTTTGTACCACTATACATATAATGGCTTCACTGTGTATACTTATAACTGACGAATTGTTACCATAACTACATCCTGTAACCTCACTGTTCTACGCTTCCCAGGTCATGACTTGTATTATGTTAGTGAATTTATAATATTATATATTTTTTCATTAATACATATTGTAATTGCGTTTCGTTTGTTTGAACAATGTTGTGTCAATTCGATTTATTGTTGTGAATGTGTGGATAGTGATGGTAAATTAAGATGTTCATGGTGACAGTGGTTGTGGTGGTGATGGTGATAGACGCGGTGAAATAGTTGGTCATGTTCGTGGTCGTTCTGTTGGTATTGGTTGTGATACAGGCGGTGTTGGTGATACAGGTGGTGTTGGTGATACAGGCGTTGTTGGTGATACAGGCGGTGGTGGTGATACAGGCGGTGGTGGTGATACAGGCGGTGGTGGTGATACAGGTGGTGGTGGTGATACAGGCGGTGTTGGTGATACAGGTGGTGTTGGTGTTGGTGTGGTGATACAGGTGGTGTTGGTGATACAGGTGGTGGTGGTGATACAGGTGGTGTTGGTGATACAGGTGGTGGTGGTGATACAGGTGGTGGTGGTGATACAGGTGGTGTTGGTGATACAGGTGGTGGTGGTGATACAGGTGGTGGTGGTGGTGTTGGTGATACAGGTGGTGTTGGTGATACAGGTGGTATTGGTGTGATGGTGGTGAGGTGGTGGTGGTACAGGTGGTGGTGGTGATACAGGTGGTGTTGGTGATACAGGTGGTGTTGGTGATACAGGTGGTGTTGGTGATACAGGTGGTGTTGTTGATACAGGTGGTGTTGGTGATGGTGGTGTTGGTGGTGGTACATGACAGGTGGTGTTGGTGGTGGTGATACAGGTGGTGTTGGTGATACAGGTGGTGTTGGTGATACAGGTGATGGTGGTGATACAGGTGGTGTTGGTGATACAGGTGGTGTTGGTGGTGGTGATACAGGTGGTGTTGGTGATACAGTGATACAGGTGGTGTTGGTGATACAGGTGGTGTTGGTGATACATGGTGATACAGGTATGGTGTTGTGTTGGTGATACAGGTGGTGTTGGTGACAGGTGGTGTTGGTGATACAGGTGGTGTTGGTGATACAGGTGGTGTTGGTGATACAGGTGGTGTTGGTGATACAGGTGGGTTGGTGAAGGTGGTGTTGGTGATACAGGTGGTGTTGGTGTGGTGTTGGTGATACAGGTGGTGTTGGTGATACAGGTGGTGTTGGTGATACAGGTGGTGTTGGTGATACAGGTGGTGTGGTTGGTGATGGTGATACAGGTGGTGTTGGTGATACAGGTGGTGTTGGTGATACAGGTGGTGTTGGTGTTGGTGATACAGGTGGTGATGGTGATACAGGTGGTGTTGGTGATACAGGTGGTATTGGTGGTGGTGATACGGGTGGTGGTGATACAGGTGGTGTTGGTGATACAGGTGTTGGTGATACATTGGTGTTGGTGATACAGGTGGTGTTGGTGGTGTGATGGTGGTGTGGTGATACGGTGGTGATGGTGATACAGGTGGTGTTGGTGATACAGGTGGTATTGGTGGTGGTGATACAGGTGTGGTGGTGTTGGTGATTGGTGTTGGTGGTAGTGATACAGGTGGTGTTGGTGATACAGGTGGTGGTTGGTGGATGATACAGGTGGTGTTGGTGATACAGGTGGTGTTGGTGATACAGGTGGTGTTGGTGATACAGGTGGTGTTGGTGATACAGGTGGTGTTGGTACAGGTGGTGTTGGTGATACAGGTGGTGTTGGTGATGATGGTGGTGGTGGTGGTGTGTTGGTGATACAGGTGGTGGTGGTGAGGTGGTGGTGTGGTGATACAGGTGGTGGTGGTGATACAGGTGGTGGTGATGGTGTGGTGTGGTGATACAGGTGGTATTGGTGTTGGTGATACAGTGATACAGGTGGTGGTGGTGATACAGGTGGTGTTGGTGATACAGGTGGTATTGGTGTTGGTGATACAGGTGGGTTGGTGATACAAGGTTGATACAGGTGGTGTTGGTGATACAGGTGGTGTTGGTGATACAGGTGGTGTTGGTGATACAGGTATTGGTGTTGGTGATTGGTGTTGGTGATACAGGTGGTGTGTTGGTGATACAGGTGGTGTTGGTGATACAGGTGGTGTTGGTGATACAGGTGGTGTTGGTGATACAGGTGGTGTTGGTGATACAGGCGGTGTTGGTGATACAGGTGGTGTTGGTGATACAGGTGGTGTTGGTGATACAGGTGGTGTTGGTGGTTATACAGATAGCATTTTGTACATGATTACATAGGAATGACAAATAGCAACAGCTCCTTGATCATAGTGATGGCGGTGCGACAAATATTTATAATGGGTGCTGTGTTAAGTGAATATAGCCATCTACAAGAAGGGAAGGAATGAGAGGGGAGGGGAGGGATTGGTGGCGCGCCCTGTAGGTGGTCCCTGGACAAGCTGGCGCCAACTACACCACCTCGCCCACCTTTCACCTTCCTTCCTCTCCCTTTGCTGTCTTCCTCCCTCCTTCTCCCATGCCCCCTTCCCTATCCCACACTTCCTCCCCTGTAACACTCTCTCTCATCCTCTTATTTGTCTTTCTCCCTTCTTCTTTCTGACCTTTCTCCCCTCCCCCTCTCTTTGCTTCTCCTTTAGCTAGTGTTTCATCATCCCCATATTTTTCACTCAAATATCTCCCGTATTCACATTTTCACATCCAACACCCCCCCTAGGCCTCGAACCACCCCTACCACTTTCTCCCATAGTCCCCCAGAAAAGTGGAGGTAATGGGCTCGACTCTCCCAAGTCAGGTGGAGGCCACTGTCTACATCACGGGCCAGCTGCTGCCAAATAGGGAAGTCAGAGGTCACTGTGCACAAATATTGATGGAAATTACAGGTACCAGTATAATGAAACACAAGTTATCTCCCAAAGCATCATTTTATATCACCCGTCCTTAAGTAGTGAACAGTCACAGCCATTCACAGTCTGACCTCATTTAGTGAATCCCTAAAGCCACTTACTTTTCAGATTTCGCTGTGCTGCTGAATGGCCGCACCTCTCAGACACCAATGACCACATCCCGTGTGGCCACAGGGCGGCTCTTCCTGAGAAAGAAGACCCTTCACTTCTCTTTCCTGCTGGAAGCTGGGGCCCCTCCTCCTGCCTCCATCCAGTTTCTGAGTGAAACTGGTGACATATTGGAGCAACTGGAAGCACAACCTACGCCTTATGAGGCTACCAACAGCAGGATATGTGGTGCCTGGACCAGAGTGCCTAAGGAATACAGGTGAGAAGACCTGTGGCCAGCCAGTCCATTCGAACCTATACACAGCACAGTACTGTACTCCCTTTGCTTTAGCTTACAGATTTATGATAGGATGTAAATTTAGGCAAAATGTGACTTTTGAAGAAAAAAATAATACGCACAATGTGTATTGATCATGTGGTATTACTTTTGTTTGTCAGAACATAAAGCCCACTTGAACTTGGAATCATCAATACCCAATGATTTCCCACCAAATATTCAAGTACAGTACAAGTGATATCTCTCTGTTAGCCAGAACAATTGGTGCAGAGAACTAACGAAATTGAGAGATTTCCAGACAACGAGACAACTCTCTCATACCCGGAAAAATCTCCCATCCCTGGAATTTGTCTGGGTACTGGGAAAATTTTCTCAGAATTTCCGGAAAATTCGCCTAATTTTCATCTCTCAAACCCGGAAAAAATCTCCTATCCCCTGAATTCTTCTGGGTACCAGAATTTTCTTGGAATTTTCCAGAATGATGCATTATCTCATTTCTCAAACTTAGAAAAATCCCCCCATCCCCAGAATTTTTCCAGGTACTGGGAAAATTTCTCGGACTTTCTAGAAAATGCACCACTTATCGTCTCAAACGCAGAAAAAAATCCCCCATCCCTGAAATTTTTCCAGGTACCGGGAAATTTTTCTCTGAATTTTTCAGAAAATGCGCCCCTCGGAAAATCATGCCCAAACTTAGAATTTTCGGGAAACATTCCAAGCAAATTTCAATTCCGACTATTGAAAAGTTCCGGCTAAGAGGAATTCTGGCTAATGGACGTATTACTAGTACAGCATGCCCTTAAAATTCGTAGGGGTTAAGTTTTCAAAATGGCCGTGGGGGGGGGGGGATAATTTTTACTCGTGTGCAAAGAAATGTATATTCCATTTCTGTGTTTGCCCTTAGGACAATTACCTCTATTTTATATATGCGTGTGTCTACACACACACACACACAAAATAAATAATAATGGGAAAATCCTCACAAATGATCAGAAACAAGACAACAAAATGTATTAAAAATGTTAGGATCTACCCTCAAGTCAACTCCATGCTTTGTTATAATAACAAAGTATGGAGTTGACTTGAGGATAAACTTACATTTTTTAATATATTTTTGTTGTCTTGTTTCTTTTTATTTGTGAGAGGATTTACCATTATTATTTATTAGTACTGTATGTGTTTTGTGTGTTTGTTTACACACACACACACACACATATACAGTACAATACAGGTAATAAAAATTACTATCTCTTAGAACGAATAGTTCCCTGTCCCGGCTGCAAAAATGACAGCAACTTTAAAACTACCCTAAGACATTCTTGGTGTCATCCGCGAATTTTAAGTGCATGCTATATTATGGCAGGATTGTTTTGCCTAATGATTTGATTCTTTGTTAGATTTCAAAGTGTGGAGAGAGGTATCTCCACAGTTTTAAAGACAGAACTTACATTTGGTAGTGAGTTGGGGGTGGCCTGGGGCAGGGGTTTACAAACTTGATGTGGTTCCGTGAGGCTCTGCATGAGAGAGAGAGAGGCGGGATAAATATCACCCAGCATGGATGAATTTATGAAATCTATTCAGCAAACTTGATGATAATGTTTTGAAAGTTGTAAGCAAAGAGAGAGTGATTGAAAGAGAATTTGAATTGAAACGATGGGATATCCAGAATATATGGTGCACTCTTGCAGCCATAGTAACAAACAGGATCCCACTGTAATCAAAACCCAGTTGATGGTGGTGCCACAAGCACTGGCCTCATTGTCTATGTGTTTAGGTTAAGTCTTCTCAGTTCACATAAGTTATGGTCACAGTATTGTTATTAAATGCAGTGTAAATGTGTTTTAGCTATCGCAATACTGTACATATTACAGTGGTACATAAATATTCTATGATGTTTTATAAAGATCTTTTCTGCCAAAGCATAAGTTGGTCACCAGTGAGGTACAAATGCGGCTTCAATTTTCTTGATGTTATCTGTGCTAAATTATGATTATTTGTTAGTACCATATACATATAACAAATATATTTTATACCGTATAGGTAATTGAAGGTATTTTTATAAAAGTATACAGTATATAGTGACATCTTCATCGTTAATGGGTGAGTGAATAATATTTTAATTGTCATTCTTTATGTTTTCTGTGCCAAATTATGATATTGATTGTAATCCACCGACTCCGTATCATTATGAGATGCAGTGCACATGAATACACGTACGGTATTATTTTTCACACTACTCACTGTATTTAATATAATGAAATATAAAAATATTTGATGACGTTTTATAAAAAAAATATGTTTAAGAGACTATGAGGATATCGGTACAATATGAAGCTGTAAGTGAAGTGTTCAGTTGTCTGTTATTTTCTGTGCCAAATGATGATCATTCACTTGGCTTATATATTAACACTTAAAACTTTTAAATATGTTGACCCTTTTTTTTCGTTTTTCTTTTATCCTTTACACCACTGATCGGCTCGTTAGCCGTTTGGGCGATCGGTCACGTCTCTGAGCAGTTTTCCTCATCATTTATCCTCTTCACCAAAAGATCGGCTTGCTAGTCGCCCGGGCGATCAGTCACGTCTCTGTCACGCACTGTTGGCAAATACTAGGCATGCACCAGCTCTTGAATGTACCTGAACCCGCTCCAGTGTTGGTCAAGTCTTGTCTTGAAAAAACTCACACTCGGTGCCGTCACAACACTCTCTGGTAGATTGTTCCAAGGGTTTACAACCCTCACTCCGAAAAAGTTTGCCCACACAGTTTTCTGGACTTGCGGCTTCTTCAATCTTGAGCTGTGACCCCTTGTGGGGCGAGCATCTGCCAGCTCCAAGTAAGGACACTCGACTGAGTAGTGCCCCCTGAGATGCTTATACACCTCAACTAGGTCACCCCTTGCCCGTCTGTAATATATAATCATTTGTTTTATACTGGATCATTAAAACTTTACCTCTTGATCAAGGTACTAGGATTCTTTTTAAAATACCTTGTACAAAGTTCCAGGGCTTCAAAAAGTTTGAAAACCCTTGGCCTAGGGGATGGTCATACACAACTGTATCTCCTGTCCTTTCATCCGGACAAAGTCAGTAACTCACCATGTAGCTACTGTACTGTACTGTACTGTACTGTACTGTACTGTGTTATGAACTGCTTTGCAAATATTATGGTAGTGAAAAGAGCTAGAGCTTTGAAATGTATAAAATAATGGTTTAAAAATATGAATAGAGCAAAACAAAAATTTAGAATTAGTATTGTAATCCTCACATGCCAAATTTATAATTTTCAAATGCAACTTACCATTCTAAATGTAAGTAAATGTGGGTTAATTTACGTATTTAGTTCTTTTTTAATACAAATTTCTTGAATATGAGTTCTCTTTACACTACTATTTTACCATTAAGTATCTTCTATCCACTTTTATTGCATTTTATATACAGTACTGTATGCAGCACTCAATATCATTTCCCAACATTTCATAGAAGAAAAACTATTATACAGTGTTCATTTCTCCAAGCTCATTACACAGCACTGTAAGTTTTATGTATCAGTACTTCTCCCACACCAAATATAAGCCTCCTTTTTTTACCTCCAGGGCATTACTGCGAGAAGAACAGATGTGGGTTGCATTATCCCCCGCAGACGAATCCCAAGAAGACACGATCAGCGGACAGGTAGCACGTTATGTAGGAGTTGACACAGAGGTATTCTCCTCCCTCCTCACACCTCCTCCTACTGCCAATCAGACCCTCAGTGGGGGAGGTACAGCAATAATCTCTGTGGATCGTAAAACTGATTCCCTACACGTTAGTCTTGTGTTTAATGGGGTCTTTGCTGATGGGGAGGCTCACAATGCCTCACTTGTAGTGGAACTGCTGCCTGAACGTGCCCTCGACCCAGTTGTTGACACAGTCATTCTCCCAAAGGTGTTCTCGGTGAGTAGCATTCCAGGTATTTATGTGGGATATTTTTAATACAACACAGTTGTGATGTAGGTTTTGGGTAGATTTTGAATGTCCTTTACTTTATCATAATTAGATATAGCAAAATTAATTCGAATTCATTCACCTCTCATCAGATATTATAAGCATATACAATATGCTGTGCAATATATTTTAAATATTGTATTGAATTATCGGGTATATGAGCTGTAGGAGGTCTTAAGGGCAGATTCGGCTATGTACAATACTATGCAATGATACAATGAAATGTTTTATTTCCTAAGGACTTGAATCGAGCAGAGATAATGACTACTCTGGGAGAAAGAAGTCTTATTCGGCTGACTCGTGGCCAAGTGGCCATGAAGGTTTGGAGTCAGGCTGCCCCAGAGCTGGCCCTGGAAGGAATGATCACTCCTCGTGCAACGTGTAATGTCTTCTCTGCTGTCTTGAGTAAACCAGTGCCAGACTCTGAAGATGATACTTCAACAGAAAGCACAGACATGACATCATCTTATGGTGCAGGTTGGGCTCTCCTTACCCTTTCTAATGGCACCTTCCAGTATCAGGTGTATGTGAAAGGTTTTGAAGTTTCTACTCTTACATTGAAAACCAAGCATAAACGTCAGGACCGCATTGTTGAAAACTTGACACCATTCTATCATGACAGTTGGGCAAATGGTACCTATGACAGAACCACATATCGTGACCTTGATGCTCTTATTCGGGGAAAACTGGAGGTGGTAGTGGCTAGTGAGAGTAATGAAGAACTTCGTGGGATGTTGAATCCAGTAGCAGTGACAGAAGCCTTGCGATCCCCACAGCCTGTATTGCTCTCATCTCCAGAAGTACCTATGGCTGCCACTGTTTGGGTGGCAGTAGATTCGGCATGTGTCACTCATTACGATGTGATGGTTGCAGGTCAGCCTCCCTATGGGGCTATTGAGCCTTTCTGGAACCTCGTTCTCCGTGAAGAAGACCAGTTCTGGGATCCACGATTTAAGATGACAAAAATGGATCTTGAGGCACATGTGGAGGGACGTGAACTCTTTGCTCACTCAACGCAGCTGACCCGATTATCCCTCTCTCGCTTGGAAGCTGGAGTCTCATACTTAGACTTAGTTTTACTGCCTCCAGACAGCAACTCCACCCTGCAGTCTTCCCTCAGTGGCCTCATCCATGGGGTGTCTGTCCCTTCTGAGTGTCTCATGGGTTCAGATCATCAAGAAGTTATCGTTGAAGAATATGACGAAGAGGAATGTGTTCATGGGCGATGCATTCTTCGAGAGGAAACGGCTCCTGAAGTTCCCCAGAGCCACAGGTGTATAGATGAAGGTAAGCTACAGTGTTCTGGTAGAATTTGGGATTGCTTTTTTTTATTTTTCAATTCAGCCTGAATATTTTTGTGCTCTCTGTTTTTTTTTTTTTTTTCATGTCATTCATTTTTTCAGTCGACAATTTTTTTTAAAGACTGATCTTTGTATTTTGTGCAAGATTTTTTTTTAAAGAACTATTAATCATCAAGTAACTTTAAAACAAAGTAAGAATATTATTGATAGTTATTAAAAAAATCTCTGTTTTGGTGGCTGATGTTTTACTTGTGTCTCATAAACTTCAAGGAAAATCTAATGATGTCCCCTTTCCCTTTCAATGGAATTAAATATACAGTACTGTATATTATCAAAGTATTATACTGTACACTCATTTCCTCCACAGAGGCAAGAGTGTTCGAGGATGGGAAGAGCTGGCAGTCGCCTGTCAATGTATGCTCAATGTGTATGTGCACCCGGGGCAAAATCAAGTGCCAGGATGTAATATGTCATAGACTTGATTGTGAGGGCGCTTACACCCCACCTAACCAATGCTGCCAGGTGTGCCCAGGTGAAACAGGTGAGACAGGTGAAAAATACACACACACAGGTACTACAGTATATGATATGAAACCATTGTGTTTCTAAAACAGCATACCACTAAGGTAGTAGGCAGCTACCAAACAGGGAGGTACTACTGCTTGGAAAGATATTGGAAACATAATGTGTCGTCTAATGGTGGACCCTGCTGCCATATGGCATCAGGAAAATTGTGACCAAGTCCCAGATTGCTGATCTGACTTTCTGCCTCATTTACACACAATTGCAGGGTCTCAATTGTTTCTCTTACTTTGACAACACAACATACAATAGGTACATATATTGTTTCTCACTCTTGATCTTTTTTTTCATTTTTGTATGTCTATGATTATTATTATTATTATTATTTTTGTCGTTATTATCATTATTATCATTAATATTATTATTATTATTATTATTATTATTATTATTATTTAATTATTTTTATTTTTCATAAATTGTATTTATTATTATTATTATTATTATTATTATTATTATTATTATTATTATTATTATTATTATTATTATTATTATTATTATTATTATTACTTATTATTATTATTATTATTATTATTATTATTATTATTATTATTATTATTACATCCCCCCCCCCCCAAGGCCCCAATATGGGTCAGTGACCTGTGCCCAGGTGGGCTAATCCCCATGAAAAAAAGAGAATAATAAAAAATATATAAGTAAATGAATACGTACATTATTTTTATAGGTCATAATATAAGTGACTACTGTACTACATTTAGTTAAGATCTCTTCTTTTGTTGACATAAATGTTTTTGATTTATTTACTACAAGTAATGAAATACTGTACTGGACAGTACTGTATTTAAAAAAATTGCAAAACCTGCAGTTTGAAGATGAACGACTTACACTGCAATGGAATTACACACCTTTTGTGCACAAGGGTCGGCCTTTTATCCCCAGACATAATCCCTCTCACTATTTACACCCTCAGTTTACTTACCTGTGTCCTGGTTACCATTAAAACATGCAGGTTACAGTAATTACAAATAGGTTCGTAATGCTCACTTCAGTCATGCAGTTTACACATCATCCCAGTTTGGTATTTGCACTCATGCAAGTTTGATTATTTTACAGGTCCAAATGATGTTGCAGAAGAGAGCAAAATGTGTGAGCTAAATGATCAAAAGCACCTATTGGGATCAAAATGGCATCCTTTCCTCACCCCAAAAGGCTTTGATAAGTGTGTCACCTGTACCTGCTTGGTAAGTGTAATTGATGCTCTTGAAACAAAAATTATTAAAACTTCTGGGGTCTCTGACAACTGTGCATCATGTACAATACCTGTTTAATAAGTGATATTTTTTATCTGATCAGAATAAAAGTGATATTCCTTTCTCATTATCCCCATGTGAAACAAAATTCCTCAATAAAAGCAAAGGGAAGAGAAATGTGAAGTACCGATATCTGTGGATGTGCAATCCATTTTGATTATCATCCAAAAAATAAAGGGTAAAGTTTTGTGTTACCCTCCCCTTCGATTTTTATATAAAAACATAATTTTCTGATGTATTTTGGTGTGCTTTGCTCATATATGAAGATATAACCCTCCTCCCCCCCAATTACCATTAATATTGGTTGTTCAAAGTGGACAGGACTTTGAAATAGAGGGAAAATGTGGGGTTAAAACACACACACAAAAAAATCACCAAACAAACTTTCTAAACCTTATGGAACCTTATTCATGTTTTTGGTGTTTAGTTCAATATGTGAAGGTTATGTTATTTTCTGTGTTCAGATGAGGAGGGACCCATAAACTTGAAATCAAATCTTAATTTTTTTGTAGGTTAGGTAAGGTTTTCACAGGTTTGTTTGGTGTTTTTCCCTCTACTTCAAAGTCCAGCCCACTTTGCAACAAAATTTATGGTAGTTGGGGGGGGGGGGGTCACAGCTTTTTTCCGATGGAAATGAAAGCCATATTTGAACAAAATACACAAGAAAAATATGTTTTTGTATAAAAATTGAAGGGGTTAGTAAATTTAATCCATACCAAACAAAGACTATAAATATTATATTCATAGTTTCATTTTGAGCTGAATTGTTATTTTGCCTGACAGCTACATTCAAGTGGAAGGCCAGTTGTCAACTGCTCAAGGTTCCCATGCCCACCTCTTCCCTGTGGTCCTGATGAAATGGAGCCGCAGCCTGACTCCTGCTGTGCTAAGTGTCGCACCCCAAGACCTGAGGCTCCCCAGCCCACGGCTCAACCTGGGATGGTAAATGAGGGAGAATTGGTAACAGAAGAAGAACATAGGAACATCATTCTTGGCAGAGGAGGATGTCTTTTGAACAACCGGGTAAGTGCCTGGTCATGTATAGCAACTCAAGAAAAGTTTTTGTTTGGGGATTACAAAATAGAATACCGGTATGCTTATTAGTGTTTACATGTTAAGTGATGTCAAAATTCGTTATGGGATTCAAATACTGTATGATATACCATAGATTACAGGACCTTAGCCTAATAGGGTGATTTCAGAAGTGCAGTACTGTATACCTTATTTACCTTGTTTACCTAATGGTCACCCAAATTAGAGTTCACCATGCTGAGAGAAGGAAGCCAGTGGCCTGTACAGGATCCCTCAATTGTTCTTGATAGTCTTGGCTAAGGCTATTTTGAAGCTGATTATTGTTCTTGATTCCACAGCTTGAGCTGGTAGACCGTTCCATAGGTCTACCACCCTCTGTGTGAAGAAGTAATTCCTTACATTCATTCTGCATGATATCTTGGCAAGATTGAAGTTATGTTCCTTTGTGTTAGTGGTGCGTGACATTTTGAAAAATGGTCCTTGTTCACATTTTCATCCCTTTTAGGATTTTGAATGTCTATGAGATCTGCCCTATTGTGTCATGTCTGAAGGGTTGTTTGTCTTAAGGCCCTCAGTCTACTTGGTTAATCGCAATGACATTTCCAGAATCATCTTAGTCACTCTAGTGCTGCACCTTTTTAAAAATGCTAATTCTTTCTGGAGGTAGGGTTTCCATGCTTGTATAAAGTGATCCAGACTGGGACATACCGGGTATGTGAGATTTATAAAGTTGAAGGAGCATTTTCATATTTGTGTGTTTGAAGGTATGGATTATAATTCCCAAAACTTGTTTTCCTTTTTTCACTGCTGCTCCCACTTGTTGCTGCCTCCTGTGTGTCTGTTTAGGATGATGATTCTAACTAACTGCACTGTGTATTTGTTATGTCTTTCCACATTTGTGATGTGCAACTTGTATTTAAATTCAACCACATATCTCAGTGTCTGTGAAAGTGTTTGTTTGTTTGTCTCTCCCTTCTTCTTTGCTAGATTCTTTATATATACGGGTACTGTAATTAAGTTGTCTTTACATTTGTTTAATTCTTCTCTCATCTTGTCTTGGAAATTTGTGTTATGTTAGCCCTAACTGCCACATTATATCTCTGAATTGCTGTGGGTCTTGATTTGTTTATGATTTTTTTTTTTGTTCTTTAATCTTTCCTGCATTGATTGTTGGAGTTCTTTATCTAACATATCTATCTTGGTTTCATGATCCTCTACAGTTGAAATTAACCCTAAAGTTGTTTCATACATTCTTTGCCAAAGAAACATGGCATGTTCATTGTTTGTAACTGAGCTGCATTTGAGCGCTTTAATTGGATCCTCAGACAGTCTTATGCATATCTTGTGGTAATTTGTCTTGTATAGCTACTGAGTATAAATTCTTTTAGCCGTATATGTAGTGACTAAGCTGATCTAGAAGTACGTAGATGTTTGCTGCTTGGGTTTGACAGTTGCTTAGAGGTGTGTAGAGATTCAGGTGCCTCTCTGGTCCACTGTACACAATGTCAAGAACGTGAATTTAGTTTCATAGACATCAGTTCCTTTAATTGTTATTGATCACTTAGTGCAAATTCACAGTGCATGCTCAGGGCAAAATCACTCTTGTGCACTATTCTCTTCCTGCTAATGATACATGATGAACTATGAATATATGTGTTAATTCTGTATGACATAATATTTGTGACTTAATATACTGGTGGCACTAGTGACCTCTGGGCATAATGTCCTGTACAGTGTAGGCATTCAGGTGCCTGTGTGGAAACATAATACTTTTACTTTTTTACTTGTATCCTCTTCCCCACTTATCGGCTTGTTAGCCGCCTGGGCGGTAGGTCACGTCTCTGATTACTTTTCCTTTTCATTTATCTTCTTCACCAAAAGATCGGCTCGCTAGCCATCCGGGCAATCAGTCACGTCTCTGTCACGCACTGTTGGCAAATACTGGGCATGCACCGGCTCCTGAATGTACCTGAACCCGCTCCAGTGTTGGTCAAGTCTTGTCTTGAAAGAGCTCACACTTGGTGCCGTCACAACACTCTCTGGTAGATTGTTCCAAGAGTTTACAACCCTCACTCCAAAAAAGTTTGCCCTCACGGTTTTCTGGACTTGCGGCTTCTTCAATCTTGAGCTGTGACCCCTTGTGGGGCGAGCGTCCGCCAGCTCCAAGTAAGGACACTCAACTGAGTAGTGCCCCCTGAGATGCTTATATACCTCAACTAGATCCCCCCTTGCCTGTCTGTAGTATAAGCTAGGCAAGTTCAGGCGCTCCAATCTCTCAGGGTAGCTGAGGTGCCGAAGTGCAGGCACCAGTCTGGTGGCCCTCCTTTGAACATTTTCAACCAACTGACAGTCCCTAGCATATCTCGGGGACCAGATGGGGTGACAGTACTCCAGATGGGGAAGCACTTCACTCCTGAAGATCTTTACGAGGGACGGACCTGTTACTGTTTCTAGGATAAGCCACTAATTTTCACTTATTCACTTTTCCTCTGTTTCGTTTGTGCATTACTGTGTGCTGGTCTTGATATTTCACCACTTATCAGCGTATTAGCCATTTGGGTGGTTAGTCTGTACTTTATTAGTCTATTATTAACTTTACTTGTACAGTAATCCTTCACTCTATGGTAGGTGAATCACGGTCACCACTAAGTGAAGGGATGATTAGTTTTAAGATGGAAATAGTAAAACAAATTATCCAGGAAAAATTAAGTGTAATAAAAAATTTATGCCTCCACTAACAGGGAAGGTTGAACTGAAGTACAGTACATACACAATTTCATCTTTTGATACATTTTGTCATCAAGCAACAGAATCTAAAGTTTGTGAAAGACGGATCCTTCTTCATCTTTCAGAGAATTATCCTGAAGATTGAAAGAATCGCTGACCACTCTTACTTTTTTTTTTATACTGTACAATACAATGTTTTGAATTTTGTCTTACTTTGGCTATGTATATGTTGGTGCCATAATTCTATTTTATTGTCAGCACTGATCATTATTGTACTCTACTTCCAGCTATTGTATGAAAATGGTGCAGAGTGGCATCCTAGAGTGGCATCCATTGGGTACTACAAATGTGTGACCTGCAAGTGTAAGGTAAGGATCCGCTGCCTTTGTCAGGAAATATAGTAAAGGTTTGGTAATATGCCCCTCTGTTAACCAGTGTGAAGCCGATACCACTGAACTTCGAGGTTTGAAGAACCAGAAGTATCTATATACTGTCCAGGAAGATAAAAAGGGAGAATTAAAATACATGAATGATCAATTCAGTGCAGTGTACTATAGTAATTAAAAATGTAACTATAAAACAGATTGACTACATATACTTGACGAATATGTTTTAATTTTACAAATCAGATTCAATAAATAAGAGCATAGAAAATAAATATAACTATTAACAAACAATGATTTTTTTGGCCATTACTACAGGATACAATTTATTCCATTAATTGTTGAATTCTTATCTTCCAACAGGATAGCAATATCACGTGTGCTTATCATCAGTGTCCCACTCTAAGATGCCAGGCAATGATTCAAGAGAAGCAGGAGTGCTGCCCTCGATGTGCCAATGAAAATAGCACAATTAACCACGGTAATAAAACACGTTGGCTAAAACCATACATAAAGAGTACTCATAAGAATAAAAACGGTAACTGAATGCATAGTTTAGGTTAAGGGCAACCAATTAAATCTGTCAGTAAATCTTACATTGGTTAGATGTAGAGGGTTGAAATGACTGCCACGTACTTCAGGTGTTCAAAACAAAAATAGCAGATATTAGGCATTCTTTCCCTCTTAGCTGTGCTAAATGTTTGCTTTTTCAACTAGGAACTCCAGCCTGGTATTTTTCCATTTTTTGTGGCCCTGGTGTGGCAATTTTTTGTGGATGAAGAATGGTTGGTGGTAATTTGGTGAAGCAAAAGAATGAAGGAAGCTGACATCTCTCAGGTTCTGAATGCAGTTAAAATATGTGAACATATATGAATACAAAGAATTTTAAAACATTGAAAGAAAAGATTCCATAGTCAAGGGCAGAAGAATACAGGTATTTCAAAGTCCTAGTTAATATAGGGGGGCAATTGCAGCTAAGTAGTGGGTTACAGAATACTGTACAGGCAAGCCATAAGTTCTGTTCTGAAGTCAGTGGCTGAGATGCAGAAATGCCTGAGGTTCGTAGCAAAGGATGCAGACAGGCCTGAGGTCTTCCAAGAAGGGCTGAAGGATCTGGCCATGTCTAAAATCCTTAAGCAACAGGATGGAAAGACATGCCAGAGGTCCTAGCAAAGGACCAGACCATATGGGACCTGAGTCGTTAAGCTGGTGCTGAGGCAGGACTGGTGTCTTCCTGGTGGTGAACATATATCATGGAGTAAGATCAGTGCAGCATCCTCCAAAAATTCCAAAAAGACTTACTCTATTGATGCAAGATGGTCATTCTCAAAACAAACATTTTTACACCTGTTGAATGCAAGTGTGAAGTGTGATGCCACATTATTAAAGAAATGCTAAGATTTTTTAATTTGATTTTAAGACTTAGTGTTCTTCCATTGGGTACTAATTTGAGGATATATTTTACCATACATGTTTATTGACTGTTACTAATGCATTAGGAATGGATTATTGTAGAGGTTATCTACAATATTTTGTACCAGTGCACCTAGTAAAGAGGCTTGGTTTATAAGGTCAACAAAATTTAAAGTTCCTCTGACCACCATGAATGATTCCTCTCTCTCCCTTGGCAGCAAGCTGTCTATGGTACCAAAGATGACGGGTGTTTCTAAATCTGATTTTGAGTAGTTACAGAATATTGCTGTATTGGTGAGGAGATCAGCAGTTATGATGCCATAATACTCTACTGTTCAGATGGCTCATTTCTTCAATAAACATAGAATTTGGACTTTTGTGATGTGCAGTAACTTGTTCCCCTCCACATGTCATGAGCCTTAAGGAATTTTTCTTGAAGAAAAGTTTATGAATGAAACTCATTAAGTTTACAAGCATTAAATCCTTTGCAAAAACTAGTATGGAAGGCATAAAATCATGAATCTCCTCACTCTTACCCCCTTCTCCCTCCCTCATATTTTGTATCTGGTGGGCAGAACTCACATATAAAAAATGCTGACAGAGTTCTTACTCCAAGCTCAATTCTAGGCTGATAATATAGGTTACTGAAGTCATTTTCTGAAGTGCTGAGGGTGATCACTTCTCCTGTGGTGCATTTTATTATTCAAACTGTGGAGGCTACCGCTTCTATTTATAAGGTGGAAATAAAAAATGTAGTTTATTTCTGTATTAGAATGATGTGTTGTGAACCAAGCTTTTTGATGGCAGCAGGGTCTGATTCTGTCTTTGAGGCTATCAGTAATAGAGTAAATAATTTTAAGTGTTGACCATTTGTGAAATTTTGGTACAGTACTTGGTGTGAAACAGACCCTGATGTAGTAGGAAGAACAATATTTTTGTAAAAATGTATATACATTATAATAGTAGTGGCTATTTTGTGACTAGAGATTGCTTTACAATTCTTTGCATGTTTGGGAATTGATGTGACCCTATGAAATAATGCAGTAAGGTTCACTAGTTCACTATTTACAGAAATTTGAACCTAATTTGGTTATCAGAGGGTAAGCTCATTTTCCAGGTCCAGCAGACTATCATCTCTGGGTAAGTGCAAATTTTATTCCAGTCAGCTGCTAAGCATTAGTTTTCCCAAAATAACATGGTACGGGATCCCCGAACTAAGAACTGAGGCTTTGAGATGGAAAAAATATACTGTATAGTTATTTATGTTAAGGAAGACTTGTATAATACCATCACTAATGGTTATATACCCAGTGTTTTAGTCACAACTAATTTTTGTCTTAACAATCCTCCAATATTTAATATTTGTCAGTCATTGTAATGAATATTAGGAATTTTGAAGTCTGTTTCCTATTCTTAATTACAAGAGTAGAAATTATAATACTGTAATAATAAATAGCAATATTGTAGCAGATCCATAGTTGATTTAGTACCATTAGATTTTAATTTTTATAAGTTGTATCCTTTTCTCTTTTATGTCTTGTATTTTCTTCTTGTACAGTACCTTGTTATTGCTTGACTCCAAATTTCAACACTTACAGTAAAGTAGTCATGTCACATGACTTGTGAACATTACATGATATATTAATGGAGGTATTTTGCACTTATCCATGGGTTGCATAATACAACATATGTATCCCAACTTTTTCTAGACTAATTATTTAATTAAAAGGTTTAACAGCAGAGTACTTGGATGTTTGTCACAGTATTGAGGTCAAGCACCAACAGCCAAGACACACCATTGATCAGGTGCATTGTGCCGTGTGGAAGCAATTGGTCGTTTCACTTGATTTAACCAAACTATAATTTAAATATCTTAGGTCATTTTTGTTTTATCTATACAGGTAGTTGACATAATGCAGCTTAGCAGTGATTTGTACAGTGTGATGCATTTGATCAGCAAAAGAGACCAGCCATTGTCACATAACACTGACTTACACTGACAACTATTTTTTGGTCAGTTGTAGTACTTGTTACTCAGTGATCCATGCCACACTTCACTACACTCTGTTTTAAGCTATCTCATTTATCTGAGGGAATGAACAACAAAATACTGGTTATATATTATTTATTTATTTTACTGTAGGTGATAATTTCATCTGACTACAGAAAAGCTTTATCAACATTGTTCATTGGAATTTGTATCTTTGAGTTTTACATTACATTTTTATGCAGGTCAATAAAAAGCAAAACCTTAAGCCATCAAGTCAGGGGGTGGAAGGCAGATGTACCGTTGTTCCCCAGGCTAATGTCAAAGACCATAATTATCTGTACTGCAAAATGTAAGAAAGGCTTGACAACAAATACAAAATTACCTAAAAAACTTTTACTGTATGTCACTTTGAACGTGGTATTGGTAAGACTTTTTCAATATTTTTTTACTTGAAACATGAAACAGGAAAAAAGCTGAATTTTCTCAAGAACATTTAGGAAGAATATATACAGTATTTAGAAGTAAACAAAAAAGTAAATGGAGAATGATTGTACACTGTCAGAAAATATGTGGCAGTCAAGGTAAGGTCTTTTCCTTGCTCCTTTAATGGTAATTTTTAATTTGAGTACCGGGTACCTGTATTAAAATTTGGGAACTGAAATTTGCAATTTTCATGTACATTTCAATAAAATTAATGCCCATGAGTGAGCTACTGTGTTAAATATAACTACAAGAAAAAAAGTACATTTAGGAATTACAATATTGTGGAACCAAGTGATAATGGGGAGTTATTATGTTTAATTGAGCAAAATCTATTATAAAGGGGCACAAGTGAGACTTGAATGTTATTGTAGAGGCAGGCATTTAAGTTATTGATCAATGATATGTTTGTGCTGTTCTCATTTAACTTTGGGAAAAGGTGTTTATAGTATGAATGCAGGCATAATTTCATAATATGGACTTGTTTAGTTATTTGAGGAAAATATATTTATACTTCAGGGAGTTATTGGAATAACAAGTCCTTTGAAATAACAAGCATGCCATAGTTCATACTACAGTAGTAGGGTAAGTTAAAGTGCCACAAGGATGGGTTTGTTATCAAATTCTGCCCAGGCTAGAAAAGAGATGCTGAATTATTAGGACAGTACTGTAGTGCACTGTAATATTATATTATATATATATTAATAAATTGAGGCTACTGTAGTCACTTTTAAACTCCATGAGCACTTGAGCGTAAAGTAGCACAAATTGGAACACCTGTGATATTTAAAACATTCACAGTCTGACAGCTACACTGATCTGAGAAGATAAAAATATTGTACATGATCACTAGTCCCATTGGCTTATTATTATAGTGTATTATGCAGCTGTTATTGGATAATTCTTATTTCAGTTCTTATATTGGTTGACTCTTGATGTGAATGTTTGTAGCCAGAAGTTCAGCATGCAGCAGGTTGTAACAAAACAATAACCCTACATAGTAACAGGAGAACTTGGAGGAGGACCCAGCTGTGACAATATGGGTGAATTCTGAGTACTTAGTGTTTCCTTGAAGAGGCTTATTCTTCTTTTGTTGCATATGTTATCAAAAACTGTATACAGTATCAGTAATATGTAAAACTTATAATTGCTGATCTTCTCTTAATTTGATGATATGGTTAACATTAAGGTAAAGTGAGGATAGTGGAAGAGTGTAAACCATTATACCTCACATGTATTGACATTAAACTCAAGAATGTGTGTTAGAAACATGTGGCAGTGGCAGTCATTGACAGATGAACTCTTTTGTGGTCATGGCAGTTTGTCCTTTGAATAATTTGAACTTTTATTAAGAAAATGTGTTCTGTATATAGAAATTAGGTTCATTTGATTAAAAGAGGATGTAGCCTGATCCGCTTTTGATGATGGCCTCTTTGATGATGACCTCTGTTAATGGCCTCTGATGATGGCCACTTTAATGATGGCCCTGAAGAGGGCCACCTTGAATGGTGGCCTCATTGATGATGGCCTCTAATGATGGCCCTTTTTAATGATGGTCTCTGAAGAGGGCCACTTTTGGTGTCTGATGACGGCCTCATTGATGATGGCCTCTGATGATGGCCTCTGATGATGGCCTCTGATGATGGCCTCTTTGAATGATGAAAGGTCTTCTTTGCAGGGTATATTGCTAAGTTATATATTATAGGTTGACATTAAGTGATGCATTTGCGAAAACTGGCATTTTCATTTAAATTTGTATGATAACTAATATCTTTATTTATTTAGCTGTTTCTTTTCTATCCATGGTAGGCAATTTAGTTTTTTTTTATTTTAGTTTCAGTATTTGTACCTTGTCGAATGTAAATATAAACAAAATACAAAAACACTAATGATAATTTCTCAAGCTAGTCAGTTTTTGCAGATAATTTTTATCAAAAGCATGATAAGGATGTTCTCAAATGAAATATTTTGTAAAAAATGCACACCTCACAGCTTCTGCTGAAGATAAATACATATTTCTTACACTCTCAGACATTAATATTTTCCTTTTGAATGCCTCAAAAGTCATCTCATACATTTGACAGATTTACTGTACTATGGTATTTAAAAATTATAAATTTATAGTCATATTTTTTTCAAATGAGCTTAATATGAATCTCTATCTGTTTCTTTCATTTTGATTTTTTTAGGTTGCAAAAAATTCCTTATTCAACATCTTCCTTGTTTGTTTCATCATCTTTTTTTTTGTCATCATATCATTTATTTTAAGTACTGTATGTCTGTGCATATCCCATTGTTGTGTTGATATTAGACAAATCAGATAAGTTTCTCAGCATTATCTAAAGAGCATTTGTAGTGAGGAAGCATAGTTTCACTTCTTTAAAACAATGGAGAAATATGATAAATAGCTGCACTCCTCAATGACTGTTTGTTCATCCCAGCACAGAACATGATGAATTAAACTGATGATCATGTAGTAAATAATTATTGAATTACACTGTACAGTACGTATATGTTTTATGTGTATCACAGCAACAAACTACAGTGGTATAGTACAACACCTTGTTTTGTTTTTTGTTCTTTAGTTATACCATTGTGGTGGTGAGGTGGCAGTTTTCTGTGGGTTTACTATTTGATCAGAAAATCATCTGAAGAATAATGCAGTAATTCCAGAACCATTGAGAAATTTAGCGTTTCAAGCCATTACGAGATGCTGAGGTAACATCAAAACTAACTTCATAGCTGTTTGGTAGTCTCAAGTATCCCCAGTGACCTAACTCTGGTGTGACAAGTGTCATTTAATTTTTAACCAATTTTTATATTTCTGAATTTATTAATGGCTAACAGTGATTACTTAAGCTAAATATTATAGTCATCACCCAACAGTGTACTAAATTTAAACTTTTACAGATTTGTTATCTATTACATTAATTATTCAGGGTTTTTTAAATTAGCAAGCATGGCCATACCTGTATGTGTAATGATATCAATCTCTGATAATCTGAGACAAACTGCTGCAACCAATCAAAAGTTTGATAATTGTAGCTTCATTATATTAAAGAACTTTTTAATCTTATTACTTCTGGCAGTTTACATGTGTACAGTTCTACTAATACAGTACAGTACAGGTATACCCAATAGTTAAACTGGATGACTACCAATAGTCTTGAGGAGCTGTCATTTTGACAAATCGTGAAACTATGCTGTAGTTTCAGTCAATATTTTGAAATTACAGTATGTATAATACAATATACAAATATAATACTGCAGTAATGCAAACTTTTAGTGAGTTATTACATTTATATTTATTACAGTAATTATCATGGCCTTTGTTTTCATTCGGACTACACTTGTTTGTGACCAATGCTGATGATTTATTGTGAGAAAACCTTTTAAATATTTTAAAGAATTATCAACCTTTGCTACTTTAAATTTATATGACAAACTGAAATTGTGGAAATATTTTATAAGTCATTACAAAGGTAAAGAATGAAAAAATTATTATGCATGAATTTACTTATATAGTACTGTACTGTATGTAACACTCAAAAGATAATTTATACCTATGGATCGATGAAGATATTAATCTGGTTTAGGTCAGTTGATTACTACAGGATTTGATGCAACCTTATTGTAGCTGTGATGAAGACAATGGTAGAATCCTGTGAATGGTGCCAGCATCATCCGTTGTGTATGTAGCCTTACTGACCAGAGAATACAACCATACTAAATAAAAGTCTCCCTGTGATGCTAGCTTACTTGTGACCCCTTCAGGTAGCTAAATGGGAAGTACCTGTACAGTCATATGAGTACACATCATTTAAGCATTTATGAACAAGTGTAGACCATTCATATTAAAATAAACTCAATCAAATCATCAACACTTGACAAAAAGTGTCTGCTCAATCTGTTGACACAGATCTGTATACATAGACAAACTTTTCTCACCCTCAAAGCCTTCCCAATATTCAACAGCAATTTGTACTGTTCACTTGCATTGAGGTGTTCAAGTGGAAAAGAGGAAGTGTGAGGTGACATAATTACCATCTAATTATTTTTTAACTACTTTAGTGTTTTACAAATGCAAGTTTCTCGGTTTTGCATTGTTTTTAATATCATCAAGAATTATGTTTATGAAAATGCCAGAGGAAAGGTAAACCCTTGGCTGAAAGTGCAGGAGGACATACTACTGCCCCAACTGTCTGCCTCTCACTGATACTGTATGTACAAGAGACCACATGTTTATGTAGTATTAAAATTATATTAACTTTCCATGCAATCTGTGTCCATTGATTGACTTTTATTCTCAGACTTGCTCAATAATACAAAAACTTTTGTTGGCTCATAATTATATATTTAAAAAAATAATAATATTATAAGAAAGGTTTATGCCTTTTGTAAAATATATTTGAAAGTCTTGGCCGAAACAATTTGAAGTTATACCAGATGCAAAAACAAAATTTGCTCCCTTGAGGTACAGTATCTGAAGTCGAGGCAGCTACACATGACCATTATAGTGTAACAAACGAATGTCTTCCTTATTTTGTTAGCAATCACATGTAAATCAAATAAGCAATATTTTTTTATAGTTATTGCTGATAATACATGCTGCCATTCTGTGTAATGACGTGCTAAAGCTGGGAATTGCTGTGTTTTCATTATGAAGTTTACACTGTAATTTCTGTTTTTCTCTCTTTCACATCTGCTGCTCTCTTTTTTTCTGATTCAAATTTTTTCTCATATTGCCTTTTCTCTCTTTTTTTCATTTGCATTCTTTCATTCATTGTACTATTTCTTTCATTGCCATTTCCCCTCTTATTAGTGTATTACATAGTCAAATATATATAAATATATATATATTTATCTTTTCTTAGCATTCCTAAATATGTAAATAATAAACTTTTGTTGTTGTTCTAAAAGAATAAAGTCACTACAATTGTTATGACTTTGCTTTATCCTTGTAAAAATTTGTTTGGCTTAGGGGGGATGGTTTGTCTTTTGAAGGTACGAGGATGGAGGATGAAGAGGAGATGGGGGAGGAGGAGGTGATGGAGAAGATGGAGGAGGAAGTGGTGATGGAGAAGAAGGAGGAGGTGGTGGTGATGGAGAAAGAGGAGGAGGAGGTGGTGATGGAGAAGAAGGAAGAGGAGGTGGTGATGGAGAGGCAGGAAGAAGAGGTGGGGATGGAGGAGGAGGTGGTGATGGAGAAGAAGGAGGAGGAGGTGGTGATGGAGAAGAAGGAGGAGGAGGTGGTGATGGAGAAGAAGGAAGAGGAGGTGATGGAGAAGAAGGAGGAGGTGGTGATGGAGAAGGAGAGGTGAGAAGAAGGAGGTGGTGATGGAGAAGAAGGAAGAGGAGGTGGTGATGGAGAGGAGAGGAGTGGTGATGGAGAAGAAGGAGGAGGTGGTGATGGAGAAGGAATGGAGAGAATGGTGATGGAGGAGGAGGAGGTGGTGATGGAGAAGAATGGAGAAGAAGGTGGTGATGGATGGAGGAGAGAAGGAGGTGGTGATGGAGAAGAAGGAAGAGGTGGTGATGGAGAAGTGGTGGTGATGGAGAAGTGATGTGGTGATGGTGATGGAGAAGAAGTGGTGGTGATGGAGAAGGAAGGAGGTGGGAGGTGGTGATGGAGAAGAAGGAGGGGGAGGTGGTGATGGAGAAAGAGGAGGAGGAGGTGGTGATGGAGAAGAAGGAAGAGGAGGTAATGGAGGAGGTGGTGATGGAGAAGAAGGGGGAGGTGGTGATGGAGAAGAAGGTGGTGGTGGTGATGGAGAAGGAAGAAGAGGTGATGATGGTGGAGGAAAAGGGGAAGGAGGAGGAGGAAACTGAAAAGTTTTATATACTTGGGTAACGTTGGTCTGCCCCGGCCAGTGTTGGGATCAGAACTGACCTGTCAGTCAGTCAGAACACCGAGATAACAGAGCCGAGGCTCTGAGGAGAACAAGAAGATGAAGGGCAAGGTAAAGTTAAGAAGTGGGAAGTACAGAGGAAGATTGATAGCAGGTGGGCTTTCCACCTTGCGGAGGCTGGTTTGTGGCTTAACCAGTGACAGGCGTCCCGCAGTCCACCAGGGGCAAGGGAGGGTAGATAAGCTAATCTAATCTAGTGTAAAGTTCGATCCAAGGGAATGTGCTGCTTTAGGGTTCGTTGGAGGGTCCCTTCAGGTCCTTGTGTTGCTGAAGGGATGTTCCTCATCTTTTGTGATTGGGGGGTCCCACCAGGTCCTTGTGTAACTTGCAGGATAATCCCCATCTTTACGGTTATGTATGTGGTGTTGGTCTTTCGTGTTTGTTGTTTGTTACCTTGGCCCCCAGAGTATTTAAGGACCGCGGAGGGAGGGGGGAGCGCTCTGGATTTTGGAGGGAATCTCTTAACTAGGTTAATTACAGCATCACCGTGCATTTGTTTAAGTCCTTTCATTTTTATTTAGTTTTTCTATAAAAAAAATCAGTCTTGATTATCGCCTTTCGATTGCTAATTTTATTATTTTTCTATTTCTCGTTTTTTTTCTTTAACTTTTCACTATGGAGATTAATGAATGTGGTTTTACCGGGAGTCAAACAGATGTACCAGCCATTATCAGCTTTACAGAGTCGGGCGGTGGTGTGTGTGTCTGTCCTCCCGTAGAAGACTGACAGGTTATACAACATACTGTACATATTTACACGAAGGAAAATATTAGAATTCGTCATACTAGATTTATCAAAACTTCAAAAGCCAGATTACAATTGACTTTCCTATGAAAGATTATGAGTAAAAAATAATTCTCAGTGAGTTGGAAGTTTCTCTAAATTTGTCATATTTTTCACACAAATACACATCTGATTGTGTATAATAAGTAATGTTCACTCATAAGATCACTTAAATTTCCAAAGTCTTTAAGCTTCGTAATAAAATAAACGTATTCAACAAGTGTCCGCCTGGGTTCCTTTTATGCATTACTGAATATAATATAGAATTCATTGGCCTCTTTAGCAGTGGGACGGCCTTTATCCTCTCAAGCAAACTACAGATTATGAAACACTTTATTCAACAACATCATGACAAGTATCGGCAACAGAAAAGAAACAATAAAAAATACTTTAATTTCTCACACAGAATGTAAATAAGTTTCTCACCCTTTAAGTAGACCAGACAGTATTTAAGTACTCCAGGCAGTATATAAGTGCCACCTATATATAGGCTTTACTACCGTACAGTATTGTTAGTGAATATAGTTACAATACTTCATAGTTTGCAGTTATGCTTTAGTTATCCCAAGATCTGTAATTTTCTTTCGTGCCCGAAGAACGAAGTAACATTTTCTTTCTGGTTAAAATCGCGAATTCCTTGTTTTTCAGTTATTTGGTACCAAAAATTCATATTATTTTCTCAGACTCTATAAGATGTCAATATAGTTTTAGTTAGATGGTAATAGGTGATTATTCAAAAGGCGGTTTATATTTTAAACGTAAAAAAAAGTAATAAGGAGGTGAGGGAAGGAGGTGAGCGCCATCCATGAGTTAACAGCGCCACTAAACTATTATCACTTGGGGGTTGGTGGGGGGGGTGGGGAGGTGGGAGTGGTTCAGTGAAAAGTTTCTCGTCTGGTGATTCTGGAAATCCGTCACCAACAGGAGCAAAATGACAAGGAAGGGAACCAAGCTGGCAGACGCTCGCCCCACAAGGGGTCACAGCTTAAGATTGAAGAAGCCACAAGTCCAGAAAACCGTGAGGGCAAACTTTTTCGGAGTGAGAGTTGTAAACTCTTGGAACAATCTACCAGAGAGTGTTGTGACGGCACCGAGTGTGAGCTCTTTCAAGACAAGACTTGACCAACACTGGAGCAGGTTTCAGGTACATTCAGGAGCCGGTGCATGCCCAGTATTTGCCAACAGTGCGTGACAGAGACGTGACCGAGACGTGACCGATCGCCCAAGCGGCTAACAAGCCGATTAGTGGCGAAGAGGATAAAAGTAAAAAGTAAAAAAGTGCGACGACCTGACAGCCCTAGAAATATCCGCCTGAGGCATCGGTAAGAACTTTATTAATAGTATTATATCATATTATATAACATTAATAATACTGAGTAGTTGTTGGTATATTATTATAGTTAGACAAAGTTTATTTAATGGTTAATTTAGTCCATAGTGTTGGGTCGGCCGGCGGAGGTGTTGACTTTACTGTATGGTAAATTTTCACCTTTTTTCTTGTTGCCACTATACGAAATCAAAGTTGAAACAATGATTGGTATTATTGCAGTTTCGGCCAATACACGGACGACTGTTCTAACCATCCCCAACCCTTAGATCTCCTTTTGGAGTATTTCTGGCCCCATTTCAACCAGGGGGCAAATAATAATATCAGAAATGAATTTTAAAGTTTTTCCATACTTTTGGGTGGGATAACTCTAAAACGGTTAATTGCCCACTGAAGTAAAGGTCAAATTCCTATAAACCACACCAAAATAGACAGGATAAACTTATTTCTAAACTACTAGGGCATATTGGTCGAAACTGCAATTTTACTCTGTTTTTGCAATGGTTTTGGATGTTTTATGAACGAATTTGAACTTTTGGCGCAAATCAATAGTTTCTGAGACTGCCCCTTCTCCTCCCATCTCAGAATCTAAAGATTATCGCTTAAAAAAAAAATATATATATATATATATATATATATATATATATATATATATATATATATATATATATATATATATATATATATACACGACGAAGGTAAGTGTTTTAAAATTGTCTAAACTGCATGATAGGTTCACTAAAAGGTCATTTTTCATTAACCATCAATCATCATCTTTTACGATTTTTGTCTCTTACCCATTTAATAGATCTCTTAGAGAATCAAAAGAATATACTTGAATTTAGCCCCTGGCATTGCAAAAATAAATGCGATATTCGCCTTTTATTTGTTGTAATAATCACGAATTTTCTAAATCCCAATTTGATGTTTTGGTGACACGTAACGGTCAGGTTAGGTTAGGACGTGGCCTGTTAGGTTAGATGAGGTGAGGATTGGTTAGTACGTAGACCTAGTTTAGTTTTAACCTTTTTCACATGAAAAACAAATTTTTTCCGCTAGTTTTCTTGGTGTTTTAAATAATTCTGACATTTATTTTTGGTGAAAATCACTCATTTTCAGCCGCCCCCCATCCCTCCCCCCACCCAAAACCCCGCTTTCTCAACGTGGCCCCCTACATTGTTTGGGTGGAAGGCGGGTGGGAATAAAAAAAAAAAAAAAACTTTTGTCCCATAGATAAATGTCGGAAACTGGAGGAAAACTAGCAAAAAAATAAATTTTTCATATGAAAAAGGTGATGAGTCGTTAACGAAAAATTTACCGTTTTGTTGTGGACACTCATAGTTTGGGTAAAACTTTAGTTTCGGCCATCCCTTACGTGTGATTAACCCCAACAGTGGGGCGAAAAATGGAAAGAATCGCCTTGTGTGATTTCGCTCCGCTGCTGCCGTTAATCATACATAAGGTGATTGTTGGCATTAATCGTTTTCATACATAAGCGATTCCTGGTTTAACGTAGTTGAATGTCTTACATTGTATTGAGTAAACCTGTAACCGTACTGAGCGTCTTATGTGTTGAGTGTTCATAATCCATTCGTTTTCTTGCCAGACATATTTTGAAATTTGTGGTTTTACTTAATCACTTCTCATCACTCCTCCTCCATACATTAGGAACTGTAAGGATCAATAGCTATCTGCAGGCAAGATGCCTTTAATAAACTGGGATTAAGATCTGAATGGCTACAGAGTCGTAGGCCTATGGGTACGGCAGTGCCGCGGGGCATGGGCCGAACCTAGGACTAAAGAGAGCCTTGCCACGGCTTCGGGGTGTAAATGCCCTGCAGTGATTTGAATACGAAGGGAGTAAGCCTGTAACTCACCCTGTGTGCTGATTATTCTTGCAAGCATTATTGTGGCTGGGTTAACAGGAGTTCAAGGCCTTTCTACACGACGGGTCACAAGGGGGTGGGGGAGGTAGTGATGGCTACCTAGGTCCCAGTGTATAAACGACCATCTTATCTATGCCGCCCATGTGCAGAGTTGTGACTAGAGACTCCCGGCAGTCATCTCTGCCTGTCCCCGTCGCCACTCGTCTGCCTCCATAGGCCTTTTGGGGGTATAGGGGTTCTGATGATAATGGAAGGTATGATGAGCTGGATGATGTATGCACGTGAGTTGATTTATGTGGTGAGGCAGGACAGGAGTGCAAGCTGCAGCCATATATCTTGGTTCTCCCTTTTCCTGTTACAGTGGTGCAGGTAACCGGAATAACAGCGCAGTAGCTCACTTGTGTTACCGGACTGTGTGTGAGTCAGCTGGCAATTAGTGCGGCTGAGTGACTGATATGATGGTGGTAGTGCTTGAGGGAGGGAAGGAGAGATAGGAGAGGGGGGTGAGGGAGATGAGGGGGGGAGGAGGAGAATGGGGATATGGAAGGAAGGAAGGAAAACGGTATTGGATGAAACAGAAGAGAGAGAAGGAGTTGGGCGCGAGCCATGAAGGGCACCACCATGTGAATCCAAACATTACGAGTGACTCTGAATATGTTGTCACCCTCATCTCCTGCGTTTACTGTTCCTTGAAACTAGACAGGAGGCACATTTTAATTCCCTCATCCAAAAACTATTACCTTTTTCAAATCTTTTTTTTTCCCTTCATATCGAGGTAAATATCATCACCTTTTGTGTAAATAATCTGATATCTTAATTCAATAACGAGAGAGAAAATAATCACTACGTCAGGTGTTTCAAAGTAATGTACAGTGCCCATCTCTAAAACAAAAAACAAAGTATTGTTTTATTTTCCGTCCTTGCAATTTACAACGCTTGACGAAATGTTTTGAATATATGATCCTTCAGTGCATCATCATAAGTTGTGGTACGCCCGCTCGTCAAATCGACAACAGCTAAAGATGGGGGGTAGGATGGAAGGGGTGTGGATGGGGGGAGAGTCCTTGGGTGGCCTACTAAATACTTATAACAAGAAATCCATTAAGCTATATTAAGTACGGGATATACCTGAAATCCTCCCTCCACCTAAGTTTATTTCACCTGATGGATTACCTTAATTCTACCTGTGGGGAGGTTAGTTTAGTTGAGGTAAGGATAGTTTAATTTTATTAGGTTAGGCTAGGTTATGTTAGGATAGACTAGGTTAGATTAGAAAAGGATGGCAAGGATAGGATATGTTCGGTTAAATTAGATTAGGTTAGGTTGGTTAGGGTAGAGTTAGGTTGTTAGGTTAGCTTTAGGCTAGGTGGTGGCCATAGTCAAGGTTATCACACAGTCATTCTTCTCAGTAACTGTTGTTAAATTATATCTTATTCCTGGAACTCATACTGTAGTCACAACTGCTTCCAGGGAGTGGGTGTCTCCCCATCCTGCTCAATGCTTGCCTCACCCTCCCCCCTCCTCCCCATCAGTATCCGTCTCCCCACCCCCCTCCTCCCCTCAGTACCTACACCACCCCACCCCCTCCTCTCCCTCAGTGTTTTTCTCACACCATCCCTCCACCTCCAATATACAAGGTGTGTGTGGCCTAGACTGACATATCGAGCGTGACAGTGACGGTTGGAAGGAGCTGGTGGAACGAGTTACGGAGGTTTGTGGGGAGAATGATTCGGTATCAGTGGTGGTTCCGGTGTGTGCTTTGCGCTCTAGAAATGACGCACTGCACATAACCACTGATCGCCATAACGCATCTCGCCGTGATGCTGACACATAACTCACCGACCTTGACGCTTTGCAGTATACGATACTTGATTGACGCAGAACATCAATGACCCATCTACAAACAGTATTGACTCATTCCTAGTAACAGTGACTCCCTTTACTATAACACCGACTCAATCTTATGGAAGTGAAGCTTCTTGAACTGGGATTGACTGCATTCCTATTACCCATGACGCATTCCTAATAGGTCTTGTGTATCCCTACAACCATTAACGTTTTGCTCAGTGTTAGTAATTATTTCCGAGTACTACTAACCCAATTTTGATAGGTATGACTTTTTTTCATTTCTAGTGCTATTTGCGTATTCCTAGTATCACTGGGGCATTCCTAGTGTCACTAATGCATTTCTAGACAAACTGACGCGTTCCTAGTACCACAAATGCATTCCTAGAGCTCTTAATGCAATTCAAGTTTTACTGACGCATTCTTGCTACTTCTAGTACATTCCTAGTAGTACCCCTGATTCATTACTAGCATCACTGACTCCTTCCTAGTAACTCTGGTGTATTCCTAGTATTTCTAGTACAAATGTTACGTGAGTGGTTCTACATAAGCAACCACAGCCCACCCTTCCCCCCTCACCCCACCTCCCCCACCTCCCCCCCTCACCCCACCTCCCCCCTCACCCCACCCTCCCCAAGCACTGTGTCCTTGACTGTGTGAAGATAGACCTAAAATTTTAGGGACAGGTCTGCGCACACTGAAATGGTACTACACTTCATCTCTAATGGCATAATAGATTTCATATCAATACCGTATCCACTTTTTCCCACTGAGTAGCTAAGTTAATTCCTCTAGAACCAAACACACACTATGCTTGAATACCTCTCACGCAGATGTGAATGACAAAGTGTTCGGCCAGGCATGTTGTCTCACTATTCACGCAGTTATGAATGTTACCTTCTCTCTGTGGAACTAAGCAAACAATTTATTGGAAATACTTTGTAACATTTAATGCCATACTATCCTGACCAATGGGCTCTGTTATATACACCCTCTGTGACCTGTATTCTGTAATCCTTTTGCGCTACCGTTCATAGGATGAGTATGGGGAATACAATAAACTAGCCGCTGTATGTGGCAAAATTCAAATATAATTCCCCCCATACTTCCCCAGGACCCTTCCCACAGCACCACCCACCTTTCCTAACTCCCTCACTTTCACCTCTCTTCCCTGTCTCTTAAACCCCCCCCCCCCCCGATATCTCCTTCTTTAACTCCCCATTCCCCCCCTCTTCTCCTCTCCACCTGTAGGGAGCAGGGGGGTGAGGCAGTGGAGGTTGGCCGGTATGAGTATTAAAAGATCAGAACCGAGGCGTGGTGGACCATAAGCGTCTCAGTCGTCATCCAGCACACACCTTCCTTCTTCTGGTGAGCGTGTAAGTACTGCACTACGGTACCTCCATCGCATCATGAATGGATAGTAATGCTGTTATCAACACGCCGCGCAGTGATAATTTTTTTTTTTTGCACTCCCCCTCTACATCCTGTGCAAGGTGAAGCGCAGATGCGCCTACAGCGCCCAACTGGGAAGCATGCTAAGTTCATGCTTGCCTTTATGTCTGAAGGGTCATAGATTTTTGTCAGCAAGTTATTGGAAGCTCCAACAACTTTCCCTGAATACGAATTCGCAACTTTTCGATTTACAACAGGTACCTACTTTACTGCTAGGTGAACAGGGACCAAGGGAGGCTAGGAAGTGTGTCCGAACAACTTGCCGCCGGCCCGGGAATCGAACCCGTGACATCTCGCTTGCGAGGCAAGAGCGGTACAGCTCTACCACCGGCGCCCCGCGAGGTGAGAATGATATATAAAGTCTGGGTAGTATTAAAAACTCTCTCTTAGGATCAAATTGGAGACCATTGGTGTTATTGTGTGTTGAAGTTGTACAGTAAACGCCAGAGAGGGTTAAAGAGAAAGAAATTTTAAAGAGTTTCTGTCGATGTATTCCTTGTGATAGTGGTGGTGGTGTGATGACAGTTTTGGTGATGGTAGTGGTGGTTATAGTATCGGTGAGCATGCTTACCTTACAAGTGAATGAACCCAGGTTTAATACCCAGGCAGGTTGTAACCATGGCCAAGTTTCTTTACTCCATTTGCCTCTGTCTACCCAGCAGTAATTGGGGACCTGGATGTTAATCGATTTGAGGATCGTGTTCCGGGGCAATGGTTAGCCAGTGCAGTTGGCGAGTTGTCTGGTCTTCATGGTTTATTCTTTAACACTGTGTCATGCAACTCTTTAACTTTGGGTGTTGTGTTGGCGACAGCTTCTACACCATAAATTAAGGCCTAGGTGGCCGTATAGGGCTGACCATCCTCGAACACAAGGGCAGCCATTATAGCGGTGATGGTGATAGTGGTAATGTGATGGTGGTGATGGTAAGTGATGATGGTAATAGTGGTAGGTGGTAATGGTGGTAGGTGATGATGGTGGTGGTAAGTGATGATGGTAATAGTGGTAGGTGGTGATGGTGGTAGGTGGTGATGGTAGTGGTAGGTGATGATGGTAATAGTGGTAGGTGGTAGTGGTAAAACAGTTGTCGTGAGCGGCCTAGACTCTACCACACAACACTGTCACAAGTGCGGTCAAATAAGTTTGTTTTTAAGAAGTAAAGTAATGTCCTGTATTAAATCGTTTCAGTATTTTCATTTATCTGTTTGGAATTAACTCATTATTCACCAAGTTTTGTCCGTCTTTCTGTCAGAGTTTGAAATTGGTATACTCACCCTATTAAAAAAAATCTCAAAGGAAATTAATATAAAAATAGAAAGTCTTAAAAAAAATCAATATTCATATGCTGAGTAAATACTAAACGTCTTTGGCAGCATTGTAACAGTGAGTCAAGTAACCTATGATATGAGTACAGTATACTATATATCGTCATTATACCCATCGATCTCATTCATCAACGCCACATAATGTCACCCCATTCCATAATTCATCTTCAGTGTGTTGTGTCAAGTGATTCATGTTGTTCGTATAGGGAGAGATGATAGGTGTCATATCATGGTGTCTTGTGGTCAGGCAGATATAAGATGGTGTATATTGATGTTTGTGTTTTGTTATACTGCCATACTGAACCTCGATAGCTGTAACTGTTCATTTCACAGGATACATAAATATACCCTTGTGTGTGTGTGTATATATCCTCGTAGAATCGACAATGGTGAGGACGATGGAAGGCGTGGTGGTGGTGCTGGCAGGACTGGTGGCATTAGTCACTGCTCACAAGTTTGAGATGGGCACCTGTAAGCCAAAGCCTGGAGTAGAGAACTTTGATCCACAACAAGTAAGCTTCCAATTTTTTTTTTAAAGGTATTTTGTTATTGTTCATTTGTTATACTTCCCTCACCTGAGAAGAACATTATATTTTCCCATTATGCCTGACTTAAAATATAACCTGTAACTTAATAGGAAATCAGCCAACAATGACATAAATCTATTAAAGAGACGAGAGAAGTATAGGAATGTCTAGTGGATGAAGTCTTGAAGTGTGAAGGACAATACCATCAATGTTACTGAGAATCATGGCAAAAGTTTGAAGAATCGAGAGTATCAGTATCTGTCTCTAACTCTGTCTCTAACTCTGTCTCTAACTCTCTCTCTAACTCTCTCTCTAACTCTTTCTCTAACCCAACCTAACCCTCCCTGCACGTCAACCATTACAGTTCAGTGGCACGTGGTATGTGATCGAGACCTTCATGTCAACTAGTTCGTGCATCACCGACACTTACACTCAGACTGGGGAAGGGTTCCAAGTGAAGCGTACCAAGGAGTTATACCCCGGCAGGATTTTCAGCATCGACCACATCTTCACCGTCACCGGAGACATTAGGTTCAAGGATCCTAATGGTGACTTATCTGCCATGACGCTGGAATGGCCGTGGAGTGAGTATCTGAAGAGGGAGATGGGGGGGGGGGGGGGGTTTGGAAGGGAGGGGGTAGAGAGACAAAGAAGAGTAAGAAGGTTTAATAGGAAGGGGAAATGGTAGGGGGAAGGGGTGATGGAATACGTCAAATAGGAGGGTTAAGAGGGTAGAGTGAGGCTATGATGGGTAGAGTGAGGCTATGATGAGTAGAGTGAGGCTATGATGAGTAGAGTGAGGCTATGATGAGTAGAGTGAAGCTATGATGAGTAGAGTGAGACAATTTTCACTACAAAAGGGCTGTTTATTATAATAGGGCTGATCAAATTAAGTGTTCTGATGTACCTAAACTAAACTAAACTAGAGATCATTTACTTAGACAGTAGACGAGTCGATAATATTTCCAGGCAATATCACAACTTGTCATTGGACCTTGTACTAGGGTCATGACTGTCACCCCTCATCCACTCTCTCTCTCTCCTTACTCATATGCTTCATGTTTCAGGTATGAGAAACCATGATGTCACCGTATTGGACACCGATTACTCGCAGTACGCCATTGTGTATGATTGTCAGTCAATGTTTATAGTACGTCGTGTCTCGTACAGCATTATCGGTCGCGAGAGAACCTTGGACAACTCGACCATTGAGAGTGTGAGTTTATTAATCTCTTTTGTGTGTGTGTGTGTGTGTGTGATCTTGACCTCTTTTTTGTGTGTGTGATCTTGACCTTTGATGGATAACACCCAACTTTCCTGGGAGTCGTCACAGGAGAGTAATCTGAAAGCTTAAAGTAATATCTCGGTGTAAATGGCAGTGTGAGCATTAACGAAACAGACAGATAAACTAATAACAAATTTAACAAAAAAAATATGACAGATGTATTATAGATGATTACTGTTCTTCTTGATGAATGCTTTTGGCTTGAGCCTCGCAAGGGGTACTCTTTACTTTAGTCTGTATCAGTGGTGAAAATATAGGATATGTTCTGATAACCCATGAGGCATTGGATGTTAAAACTAAATTATGTGAACTAAAAGCTCTTCATTGCTTCCCTTCTCTATACTGACTCTGTGTCTTACAGGCGAAGAGTAAGCTGGTGGAGTTGGGTGTCAAATTAAACAACTTGTCGACGGTCAATCATGAAAACTGCAACAAGGAAGGCGAGGCCGACTTTGACCTCAACTTTGATGAAGTGATCAACACATTCAGTGGTGGTAGTGATGGGGAGGCGGAGGAGGAGGTGGAGACTGTGGACGTTGGTGAGAATGAAGTGTAGCTTCAAGGACGTCAAGGCAGGAGTCTTACTGTGAGGGGGAGGAGGAGGTTCTGTGATCACCAGACAACTACTAACACCACCACCACTGGCATCATCCTCCATCACCACATGAGACAGTGTAAGAGTATGTTGTTGTGGTGTGGGGGAGACACCGGGGATGCACACCATCTACGTATTGTATTATTATGACAAAAGAAGATTACAGTTGAGGTGGGGTTTGCTTTGGGTTGTTTTATGAGCATTAGACTGATAAAATAATAAAGGTTTAAAGAAAAAAATAATTTTTATTTCGTTATTATACTCGCCACCCTGTGACGGCCAGGGCTGATACTGGCTATATGTTTAAACGCTAGTAAATCCTTTACTTTAATGTAAACAGATTAATTTTTCTCCAGACGTATATTTCATTGTTTGTTTATATATGCAGGCAAGTCACGTGTTCGACTAGTAGGCAGTTAATGTGACGGGTTGGTCGTTTAACCCCATCACGAATGGGACGCCACTTTTAAAATTTTATTTGGCTAACGCCAGACGATTTTATTCAACAGAGAGAAACCGTCGTACACAAGGAGTATGTTACGGGATTTTTTCGTGGTCTTAAATCTTTGAGTGTCTCAGTTACCTTAACACTACTTCACCAAGGAGATTATATGATGTATCACCACCCTAGAATTTCACTCCACTTACTGGCTTTCAATGTGTTATATACCTAATAAATGATGATTTAATGACTTCCATTAAATTCCAACATCCATCTAAGTTATTGGTTGTACTTTGTCATAGCCAATCAGTCATTACCTTTAGTAATTAGTAAGATAGGGATTAGAGATACAGGCAGATAATTGCACTTAGATTTATTTGGCAAGGTTCCTTACACTGCTTTACAATTTGCATGGATATACGAGTCACTCACATTGACGCCACAATATAAGTAATGTTGTAAAGAGGGATTTTGTCAACCTGGGGACCGCAAATTTAATTAAACTTCTCTGGGTTGACATCAGGAGGCCGGCTTGGATTGCTCCTGTAGCAAACAAGTTTTCACAAGTGATGCACACTCACAGTTTTGTGTCACTGACGGTTCTAACTTCAGCTCTGCTATAAAAGTTCAGACGATGTCGCGGCAGGAGAACTCTGCAAGCAACCCGTTCCCTGAAGACTGGGGAGCAGGAGGCCTTAACTAACGCATGGTCGGGACCTACTAACTTAAATGTGATGTCCCCACCCCCCCCTACGGGATGCAAAACAATGAAACAATGGGTCACTGTCCCATCAGGCCCCTTTATCTTGGTTCCATACCTTGCTAATGGAATTTTGATAATGCAGTCACCTCGCCTGTGGTCTTATCTTCCCGAAACAAATATTCAGGTCGGGTTGTATGAGGCCTTAGCCTCACAATCCATGACAGGGTTAAACTGTAAGTAATGTTTGGTGAGAGTCACTTTCCGGGCGTGGCTGAGATGTCGAGACAGAATCAAATTTATGGAAGGGAGGGAGGGAGGAGGGGTCACATGTATTACTGAGGCTGGTGATTGAAGGTACGGTGAAGGTAAATTTTTGTACGATGTTCTGTACGACAAACTGTTACATGATGTCGCTGAAAGAAACTGAAGTCTGCCAGTATGTTCAGTGACTATTATTTGAGTCCTCTTGTGGTGTTCACTTAAGCCCTCGTGGTGATTACAACGTTCAGAGGTTTCGGATAGTTTAAAAACAAAGTGCTAGGATCCTTCTGTAGGTCTAGTGGCTCTCCTTCAGGTTCAGAGAAGGTGAAGTTCTGCAGCAGCGCCGACAGGAAGAAGTAAAGTTGCATGCGAGCCAGAGACTCTCCTGGGCAAACACGTCGACCTGTACGAATGAAATGACGCTTTAGATAACATTTATCACCTGGAAAGAAACTAAACGTCAGCTTTATTACGTAAAAATTATTTTATCACACTTTTTATAACACTAAAGACTTGAGAAACATAGTCTTTAAATTTTAAATATCAACAAGTGATTAAAAAGTTATCGTCTCGGATTTTAGGTCACAGCCGTTGTCTTATAAGTCATGTCTCCATAACATTGTAACGTTTTCCTCTTACCAATAGAGAAGGGAAGATAATTCTCCTTCCTTAGGCTCAGTTTTCCCTCACTGTCGAGGAAATGCTCCGGGTAGAACTCTTCAGGCTTCTCCCAGTAGGTTGGATCTTTGTGGCACATCTCTTGGTTAGGGATGATCATGGTGCCCTGAACACCAGATACAACATGGCTATTACTTTCTCTACTTTATGGACAATATAAAATATACAACACTGAAAGATTCTTGTATGATGCATGAGAGTTGTGTCTTATCTGTTGAAGGTTGATCAAGGTCCTCTGAAGGGAAGAATGAAAATGGATACAAGTTTTTCCTTTTTGTAGAACACCTGAAGGACTTTATCAGTGAACATCAAGAGGGGACTTGTAGGTGCTGTGTATATGGTGCAACTCTAAACGGAGGATCACTGTACCTCACCTCACAACGACCCAGGAGGAGTTTACCCAAACCTCATCAATCGACCAATCATGTGTAATATCAGTTAATCATTGGTAACTGTTGGCGTCCTTAGTAACTAACTTAATTAGCTGTTAAGTGATTCCCTTTAAACTCGGCAACAAGTCACCTTTCATGGATTGCGGCTAATTGTTGATAATGGCAGAGACAGGAGTTCAGCTAATAAGATATTTAACTTTAATGGATGTAACCCTGTGATGCATATTGACTTTCACTGGTGAAACCTCTTTGAAACACTATTAGGCTGGTTACTGACCCAACTGACCACAGCCATTATCAGCTGATGTACATTTGGTATGGTGAAGCTGTAAGAGGATGTACCTTTGGTATGGTGAAGCCAGCAAGTTGGGTGTCGGTCCTTGCCGAGTGTGTAAATCCCAGAGGGGCCAAAGACACGAACCTGTTGACCTCGTGTATGACGGCCTCCAGGTACGGCAGTCTTGAGTGTGAGGATGACACCAGTAATAGTAATATTCTTTGGGTGATAAACAATTTATAAAAATTATCCTGAAGACAGAGGAAGAATCACTAGGGGCCATCAACAACTTCTCGACATAATATAAAGTTACCTGGACTTTTTTTGTAACATTAAGTAACTAATTTATAAAACTACAATAAACTTAACTTGGCCGGTTTAAAATAGTAAGTCAGGGAATAATAACAATATATTTACTTGGGTTTATCTTGGAGGGTGGGGAGGGTTCCTCTGGCCACCACGTCGTCAATCTCGCGCTGCACTCTGGCCTGGACGTCTGGGTACTTGGCCAAGATCATCAGAGCCCACATCAGCGTATGGTTAGTCGTCTCGCTCCCAGCTGTGAACAAATCTGCCACGTGGACCCACAGGTCTAATTCTGTGGGAGTAGACGGAGTATAAGTGATTGTTATGTGGGAATACACTAAATACAGGAGTTGTTGTAGGGACCCTGCCAGTCTAGTGGAGTTTCTCATGCAACTTTGATCATGTCTGTCGTCACCTTTATAAGTGTCTGAAGCAGTACACTTTTATGTAAACTTGGTTGTCTCACCACCAGAAGCCTTCCTCAAACGTCACACTAACATGTTTAGACTTTGTGTGAAATTGTGTATCGCTAAGCATGACCACAAACATGGATGACAAGCCTGCCATGTGCTCATTTATGATCCAGTGTGGCTTAAGTACTTTAGAATAGGAACAGATGCATAGTGGCTGTTTTACTGGGTCATCCTGTTAGTTACAGCTAGACTTCACTTCCTTGGCTGAGGTGAATCGAGGTATGCTGTGCCATTCCTGTAATGATTGATTGTCAGACCAAAGCTTACAGCCCAGAATTACATAACATATACTTGTAACAGCAAGTGCAGTACAGACCTCGTGGTACCCTAACACCACAGGTTGACACACCGCAGGTCAAGACCTGACCCCGGCCTAAGTACTTGCGTAAGCCTACGATATAACCGTGTTAAGGAAACCACACCTGGCCAAGACTCACCCGGGCGGTAATAATTACAAAGCACTATTGTCCTGCGACATGACCTCACCTGCACACTACTATCCGGATCTAACCAGTTTAGTGTTAATTGGTTAGAGGTCAAAAGCTGGCTGGGCCGACCCCATATAAAGGCCCTACAGTCCCGTCCACGATCATTCTGATTTTGATTCTCATTCTGATCCTAGTTGTCATTCGAACATTCTGAGGAGACGCTCATTACTCTGGAGATTCTCAGAGTCACGCTCGTCCTCTCCCCAGGTCGGGAGGGGGACTTCCCGACCAGAACCCAGCTAAGCAGAAGCCTCCCATAGGAGGCAGCCCAGCCAAGCACCCACTGGGCCTACGTCAGGGTACACGTGAGTCTTGTCAGAACTATCACTAGGGTGAATTACCTACTGTGGGAAGTGTATTCATTCATGTTGTATCCGAGAGTCAGTGTCGAGTAACGTTAGACCTAACGTGTTATACCCCGATATATTAGTGATATTGAAGTGTCCATGTCATTAAGTGAATTAAGAGGTGTTTAACAAGTTGTCCCTTTAAGAAGTACTATATGTGTATTGACATACGAGATAAGAAGATAAGTGTATTGACGCTGAGTAAATAACAGACGGCCACGCTACCAAGTTCCCTATCTTTACATTCCTACTCTCTAGCCTTACTTATATATGTAATCTTCTCATTGTGTTCTGTCTCATTATATTCCCATCAATCAGGACGGAAGAGACACTCACTCAGAGGGTTGATCTAACAACTCGGCGTCTCTCACTCCGAGGAGATTGTAGTAATGTAATACAATAATATGCGTAAAATAACTGAGTGATACCCCATGCAGCGTTACGTGACACCACAGGGCGTAGCGTCACACAGCGTCCTCCCACCCTGTGCCGCCCACAAAGAGGCGGCCTCAGTGTCTTAATTACTTGATTAGAATATTAAAATGTAATGTGCTTGCGAACCTCTCTCTCTCTCTCTCTCTCTCTCTCACCGCTCATAGTGGATTCTGGGTTGCTCTGCTGTGCCTCCATCTCCAACAGGTAAAAGTCAATGTAGTCCCTCGGCTTCTCGGGGTCCAGCGACGCTTGATGCTCCTTCACCACTCTCTGGAACAAAGAATGATAAGTTAAGTGTTCTGGAGCCAAGGATGATATAAGTGACGTTCATTTACGAAAATATAAACGGTGTTCCTCTACCTACAGTGGCGTTCATTTTCGGTAAAGACATATGCACCAACTCACCAACATGAACTCTTTGATCTTGGCGTACGATTCCAACATAGAGGTAACGCCGAGGTACTTGTTGACGAAAGGTGGGCAGATGGTAACCAGCCAAGGGCACATGTCGAATATCAGGGAGGGTCCTTGGCTTTTCTCGAGGACGTCGATGATCATATCTTGAAATTTTTGGGTTTTGGGGTCGTCTACATCGTAGCGTATGTCTGAAGGAGATATTATTACATTGTGTGTGAAGGTTATCGGCGTATATGGAGGGCGTAACACAGTATAAAAACAAAACAAAAAACATCACACACACAAAAACAAACATAATATTTCAATCCATAAAAGTTGCTATTTCTTATCTTGCTCATTTTTGTATTCTTAGTTCTACATACTCCATTAACCCCCCCCCTCCCCCTTTCTTAGGTCATCAATATATATATATATATATATATATATATATATATATATATATATATATATATATATATATATATATATATATATATATATATATATATATATATATATATATCTGTCCATTCTACTAATTAAAAAACACAGGATGAACTAAGCTTAATTTATTCCCCAGGTGAAACTTCAAACATAGGTGACCTGAGTGACTGTGGACAACACCCACCTGCAGTGAGTTTCCAGATAATATTCAGTACAGCAACGTTGAGTGACTTGGGTATAGGCTGAGGTTGTCCCGTGTGTTTCTTGAAGTCATCCACCAGACACATCGCCTCGTAGTGCATCGCTTCCATTAGGCTTGACTTGCCCATTCCTAGATCCTTCAGTTGACGTAATGCAAATCGGCGACTATTGAGCCAGTGGACTCCATTACTATTACTGATGCCTGTAGGTGTGGTGGCGCGCGGTGGAAAGTTAACGAGTTATTGAGGAAAGATTTTTTTGACGTCTGAAAGAAACTTAATCTAACTTGACTAAACTTAATTTAAATCTAACCTAAATTGAATTTACCTGACTTTAATCTGACCTAACTGGAACATGCCTCGCTTAAGTATTTAGGTTGGTGAAAGAAATCAATAAAGGAGATATAGATAAAGTTCTTATAATATACGAGCAGGATAGGACTTGTAGCAACGGTTATAAGTTGGATAAGTTTAGGTTTAGGAGGGAGATAGGAAGGAACTGGTTCACAACTAGTTCATGGATGATCGAGTGGTAGTAACTCTCGACAGGAGCTGCCATGCACAGGCCAACCGGCCTATTGCAGACTCCTTATTTTCTTATGTTCTCATGTTCTTAAATCTAACCTAACTTAACCTAACCTAATTTACATTTAACCAAACTTGATTTAACCAAATTTAACCTACCCTAATCTAATCTTAGCTAAATTAAGATAACGATAATTTAACTTAACCCAACATAATCTAACCTAAGATAACTTAACAATATAACTTAACCTAACCCAAACCTAATGCTACCTAACCTAAGATAACAAACGATTTAACTCGTAACTTAACCTAACCTAAGATAACAATAATAACATAACCTTACCAGCTTTCACAAAATCGCTGAAAGAGTCAAGTGTGAAGGAATCAGGACGTTCTTGTAGGTCGGGGTTATTGAAAGCTGTTTTGATGAGTTGAAAGTTGTTGACGAAGACCATAGTACGGCTACCCATCCTCCACCTGTCCAGACCATGTTACACCACGGTATGAATGTTACTGTGTACACCAAGGGATGAATGTTACTGTGTACACTAAGGGATGAATGTTACTGTGTACACCAAGGGATGAATGTTACTGTGTACACCAAGGGATGAATGTTACTGTTTACACCAAGGTATGAATGTTACTGTGTACACCAAAGGATGAATGTTACTGTTTACACTAAGGGATGAATGTTACTGTTTACACCAAGGGATGAATGTTACTTTGTACACCAAGGGATGAATGTTACTGTGTACACCAAGGGATGAATGTTACTGTGTACACCATGGGATGAATGTTACTTTGTACACCAAGGGATGAATGTTACTGTGTACACCAAGGGATGAATGTTACTGTGTACACCAAGGGATGAATGTTACTGTGTACACCAAGGGATGAATGTTACTGTGTACACCAAGGGATGAATGTTACTGTGTACACCAAGGGATGAATGTTACTGTGTACACCAAGGTATGAATGTTACTGTGTACACCAAGGTATGAATGTTACTGTGTACACCAAGGGATGAATGTTACTATGTACACCAAGGGATGAATGTTACTGTGTACAGCTAAAGTATAAGTGTTGTCATACTTTGCTTTGGTGACTTACGTGAAAATGTCGCCATACTTGTGTCTCAGCGTCTTGACGTGCTCATCCATGGTCACTCCTACCGGCATCAAGGCACCCAGCACAGGCCAGCCCCACTCACCTGGGGACACCACAGCTATTACCTGGGGACATCTACCCAGCACAGACCAGCCCCACTTCCAGTTATCAAGAGGCGGGTAGTGCAGTACGCCCCACCCTCGGGAACTAATCTTCAATATATTGTTGCTGAAACCCAACATGAGCCTCGGACGGACAGATATGACGTTGACAACCTGGCTCGAAATGGACTAAAGAATTTGAAGAAATCTTTGAGGAAAACAACAGGGAATGTGGGTAGTCTCTAGAGAACCAGACATTACCGGAAGAATATGAAAATTATAGACTCGTAGTGGACGATATATACTGTAGTAAGTTAAGATGACCATGTGGGAGAAAAGAGAAAAAGGAGTTTACCAGCCTGTATAGTGGCAGGGGAGATAGTGTGGCATTGTGTTTATACAATAAATCACTACTGCACTGACTTTACGAGTGTGAATGAAGGAGTTGCCAACACACTACAGACAACTGCTCCCGACATGATATCACAATAGTAATGGGAGATTGTTTGGCTGGGCGTTACCACAAGCCTCCTACTGTCACCTTACATACCTGGAGGGAGTCCTTTAGGCCTCCTGTTGGCTAAGGTGAAGAGCAGCACCAGCAGCAGCACCCCCAGCGCCGCCTCCGCCAACATCCTTCTCTCTTGCCTACGAGCAGCTCTGTATAATAACTCAATGCTCAACCAGTTTAATATTCTCAGATTTCTAAGAATATTACTGGACTCCTCTGTTGGTTGTAGGGAAATATTTGTGATAATATTTCAAGCACACCTAAAGTTATACCGCTTGTTAAAGATGTTATCGCTTCTCTAAATATAATCGTCTAACCAAAGTAACACACGGACGACCCCTGATGCTCAACTGTTTATAGTTCGCCAGGGAGACTCCGTCTTGGCCTCGCCTTGAGCCACGGGACACTCGAATATGTTGCCTAACAAGGATTTTCAGCGTGAGAATATTTATGTGCGTATGTAAGCAGTTTAGTCTTGTTTAGTCTGTAACCAGTATAGCAACCAGGCTATTATACACGATGGATAAATATGTTTTCATTATGGATTTTACATTGACCCGCAGGGTCAAAGATGTTTTCAGAGTAAGCATGTAGTAAGCATTTACTTAGCCTGCTCAAACGCAGCTGTTTTAGTCACGTACACGGTCTGGATACCTTTTATATGACGATATCACCTTTCAAGCTCATTACTTATTCAATTAATGAGTCTTACTTGATAACTAGGTACATTATCACTAGTAGACTTTTAAGTATTTGATGTAAATTATTAGTCAGACTAGTTAGATATTTGCAACGTCAATTAAGGATGATTCACGGCTCTAACGAGATCATTTCCAGACAGCTATTTCAGTAACGCTGCTGACACTGATTCAGGTGTTCATGCCAAGGAATTGACTCATACCGACTCTCCCCGCTGGTAGAAGCTTGAACCCATGCATCATCCTTCGTGACGTACACACATATGTACATATAACGACTTGTATCCGTCCACCCACCTCAGAGAAGTGAACTAAGATAGATGGTTTTTGTGAACAATATCTGGTAATTCCCTAAACAAGTGTGAGTCTTCAGAAGAAGTTACAGGGAAGTTACACGTATGACGTTTTTGTTTACAAAGTATGTTGATTACTACTTCATTTCTGTTTACATGTTCCATACGGTGTTCAGCGGACGCCTTAATATAAATAGATAATCGGTGTTATTTTAGGCAGCTGGCTGAAGTAACCAACTGTATAGGTTATAGAACGTTTTATTGCCCGTGTGTGTGTCTTGGTGGCTGTCATTTTTAGCTCACGTGATTCCCTCAGTTACATGATATTAAATATTGTGTTGTACTATCTGCCCATGGTAAAGCCAAGGTGTTATAAAGGAGGTTTTATAAAGGTACACATAATGATATAATGGTGGACGTATATAAAGGAGTGTGTTGCAAAGACGTACAGACAGACAGGAAATAATCTGACCCCCACTGACTACTACTGTACCCCATCATGATGACTCGACGCTGTGGATGTATTATGGTGACGCATAACACAGAATGACATGACTATTAGGCAGCTTGAGTATCATGACCTAACCTAACCTAACCCAACCCCCCCCCCCACAAAAAAAAACCCTGGGTAGCATTAGGATGTTCATTCATCAGTTGGGAATGCTGTACAGATGCCGTAGCTACTTCACTCCTGAGCAGTTGCTTCACGTATATAAGGGATTCATTAGTCCTAACTTGAATACTGCTCTCATATCTGGGGTGGCTCTTCTTCTGTCCAACTGTTAGGTCGGGTGGAATCAAAGGCATTTCGTCTTATTAACTCTCCTCCTTTAATTGATAATTTCTCTTCCCTTTCTCTTCGCCGCAATGTTGCTTCATTCTCTCTCTTTTACAGGCACTTTAACGGGCAATGTTCAGTGGATTTGGCATCCTGTGTACCACTGGCAAGGCCGTGGGCTCGTAACACTCGTCTTGCCCGCGGTGCCCACCGTTTCTGTGTGGATGTCGGTTACAAGAACAGTGATTCCCAACCATTTTTGGCTGCGACCCTAAATTTCCTAAAATACGGTGTCGTGACCCTCAGGCATATAATATATTATATAGCTTGAATGTTAAGAAAAAATTTGTTTGACCTTATGATAAGTACTATATTTTTTTTAATTGTCTAAGGGCCCCTCGCGACCCTGCTGAGGACACCACGCGACCCTGATTTGGGTCGCGACCTGAGGTTGGGAACTGCTGCATAGAATAACCCTTTACAGTACATCTTTCTTTCCTCACACCGCCAAACTGTGGAATGCTCTGCCTTCTTATATGTTAACATGCTCATACAATGTCTCACTTCAAAAAGCTTGTTTTCCGGCATCTTCGTGGTGTAGATTAATATACTCCTTTACCCTTCTAATTTTTATTTTTACTTGTACTCATTATTTTCGCCCCTAGGCCCATTGTGGGTCGATGACGTGCCCAGGTGGGCTATTCTCCGTAAAAAAAAGTGAAATAAACTGAGGTATCGAATCTTCGCGTGACTCGGAATTTTACTACCTGTCGTGGTATTACAGAGGGGGATAAGCTTATTGGCTTATTGCTTGGTCTGATAAGTCATTGATAAGAAGGTGTTAGGTGTGTGTGTGTTCCTTTGTGTGATTTTATTGACCTGGAGGAACAATTAGTATAAACACACACACACACACACACACACACACACACTTCACTTATAAGCTCTCCAACGTAATTCAACGCGAAGAAAAGAAAAGTTAGCCATTAAATCTAAATTTTCTATGAAAGTGATAAAAGAAAACTATAATGTCTTTATGGTAGACATTTTTATTCTCATTGACGAAGCACATCAGCTGTGGAGAGGGGTCCGACTAATTACCCAAATGTACCCAAATGTAGCAGAAATGAAGTCAAATGATGGTCCTACAAGAATAAATCGGACTGCCAATCACTTCTCGACTGGTATTTGGTGTCACGAAGTCACAAAAAATTGGTAATCTTAATTTAATCTGAGTTAATAGATCGAGTGCATGTACCTAACCTAACCCAACTCAGATTTAATTAAGTTTACCAATTTTTTCTGACTTTATGACACCAAATAATAATCGAGAAGTGATTGGCAGTCCGATTTATTCATGTAGGACCATTATTTGACTTAATTGCGGCTACATTTGGGTACATTTGGGTAATTAGACGGACCGGTGGAAAAAAAGAATCAAAGATTATTTTGGTTGACTCCCTTACGTCTATAGTTGTTATTAAAATTATGTGAGTTTAGGCGTTTCTTGCTGGCTAATTATCTTACTTCGGTAATCCTAGAACAGATGCCTAACACCAGAACGCGTTGTTCGATTTTGTTAATTTTTCCAAAGACGTTCTTTGGGTGATTCTAAGTAATAAAAATTATACGACAATTTTCTCCAATTATTTATTCTTTTTTTTTTACTTTTTCTCTATCTACGATCATATATCACCTGTAGTGGGCAGGGTATGGAGGATGAGGGAAATCGCGGGGTAAAACACGGTTACAGACTTAATCATCATATGACACTAATATGATGTCTCCATACACTTTGCACGCTAACAATAAAAAATATGAAAAAATAAGTATTTACCGTAAATATTCCGTATAAAATCTGCCGTGCCTGCGCGTGTCGTCATCTATTCTTTGTTTCCACGCAACAACCGACCTGCTTGGTCAGAGAGTTCCCTGAAAAAAAAAAAAAAAATAAATGAAAGTCAAATTAAACCATGCCGCTACAAGAAAGTTGCATTCTTTGGTACCAGATATTAAAATAAGTTCTTTCTGTTTAATATTTCGGGGTGTCCGTTTTGAGAAGTCGGGTAAGGTTAGGTAGGTTTCTTCGGTTGGTTAAGTCAGGTTCTATTATGTTCTGTGCATTGTCGTATCTTTTTTATTTCATACTATCACTCAAAGAACATCTGTGGAAAAATTAATGAAATCGAACAACTTGGTCTAGTGTTAGGGCTCGTTTACACGATCAGTCTCTGAGCACTTTTTCGAAGCATAATGATAAATAATAATAATAATAATTAACGGTTTATTGAATTAACGGTTTATTGAAAAAGCTCTGCAGCCCGAAGGCTGAAAATATACATTGGACACAAATGACTTATTACATACATTGGTGGTTTAACTAAAGCCTTCATTAGAGAAAGGTAAAGGAACATACAGTGAACATACAGATTAATGTAGGTGTTGAACAGCAAACACGTAGTGTAGTAACTCCCTCCCAGATGGTGTTAGGAGGGACCTGACGTGGTGTAGTAATTCCCTCACAGATGGTGTTATGAGGGACCTGACGTGGTGTAGTAATTCCCTCAGATGGTGTTATGAGGGACCTCATGTGGTGTAGTAATTACCTCACAGATGGTGTTATGAGGGGCATCACGTGGTGTAGTAATTCCCTCACAGATGGTGTTATATGAGTGAGGTGTGATCCCAGGCCTTCCTATCGTAGACGGATTAACACATCGCTGGTTGTTGTTGGGTCTCACGGGCCGTTATCACTGGGTACCTGGGACCTCACTGTGTGAAGGTTAACTTGGGTACGACTGTTACTGTTGAGTTGTTCTCACTGACTTAAGCACTGTTCACCTCTGTTTAACGCTGGTTCCATTCCTTTCCTAAATGAAATTGTAACTTCTGGCGAGAACTTGTTGATATTCCGGTGGGGAGGAGGGTTCAGGGGAGGGGGTTGGTATGGGCCAACATAACAGTTGACCTGGCTGCTCCGGGAGGAGCGCCAGGTACGGTGGTCAAGCATGGTAACGAAGCCGTGCTCGGGCAGTGATCGTGTAGACAGCCACACTGAACCACCAATCCTTTCCGGGCAGTTACGTGTGGGAGCCTAATAGTTGCGTGGCCACCTACGTGGGTCTCTGCCACACCACACAGACGCACAAGTTAAAATCAACGATGGACGCTGTGCCGTCGCCTACACCTCCCACCAGTGACCCTCAGGAGTCAGGGCCACCATTTGAGTGGATAAAGACGTTAACGTTACAACTTATTGAACTGTATAGGGACCGGCCATGTCTATGGCAGGTCAGAAGTGATGGATACAGAAATAGAAACGAAAAATGTAAACCTTATGGGGAACTGTATAATTATGTGAAAAATGTAAATCCTATGTGCACACTTGATATTGTCAAGAAGAAAATAAACACATTACGCAGTCAGTACAGAAAGGAGCCGAAAATGATAGCCGCATCGAAGAAGTCTGGGGCTAGTGCAGACGACGGTGTGGCAGTTCCGTGTAAACAGACCGTCCACTAAACAGTGGTTAGTACCCTGCTCCGACCCCATGCTTCGCCACTGACCACCATACGTGTTAACTGATCGTGTAAACGAGCCC